TAGTGGTTCTTTATGATCAGTTCGTTCAGGAATAGTAAGCCGAGGTTAACAGTGAAAATTTCGAATATGAAACGAAGCCCAAGTCGGGATTCACCGCCTTTGCGGAGTAAAAGATCGCGGTCGAGTATGAGGCGTTACGACGATAGCTCGGACGAACGAGTGACACCCGAAAGGATTCGTCGGCGCTCGCCCAGAGGTAGATCACCTCCGAGTCCACGGCGGTATGCCCTGGAACGGGACGATTATCGCTCGCGCGGATTGGAAAAAGCCTACCCGAGTTTCAAAGTGTTGTGTGTGAGTGCATTGCACCCGAAAGCTAGCGACGAGCTTATCAAGGATACCCTCTACCGAGAGTTTAAAAAGTTTGGTGATCTGAGCATTCGAATCTCCCATGATTTGGATGAGAGATTGGCATACGTGTGTTTTCGGAGTAGCGAAGACGCCCGAGACGCCAAGCATAATAAATCTAGAATAATTTTATTTGATAAGGTAGCCTTAGTCGAACCTGTGTTCGAGAAGAGAAGTAGTGCAGAATTGTACCGGGGTCATAGTCGACCTCGCTCCAGGAGCATTACTCCCGAGTATGATAGATACTACCGCCGCTCACCTGTCCCTGATCACCACCGACCTTTACCTCCTGATAGGATATACGATCGAGGCTATCCCCCGCCTGTTCCCCTTCCTCCGCATCGAGGAGAATTTATAAGGCGGGAAGGTCCGATCCTACCTCCTCATGATCCCTTTCTACCGAGAGGCCCGCCCCTCCACCCTCATCATCATCCCCATCCCCTTCCCCCACATCATTTGCCTCCCGGACCTCACGGCCCGTATGGACCACCGCGTCACATGATGATCCCTCATTTCAAGCCGCCTCCTCACCACTTCGTCGATGAAATGAAGAAGAAAGATAAGTTCCCAAATTACTTGCATCATGTGCCTCCAGAGGAAGATCCACTTGCCACCAGGACCTTGTTTGCAGGAAACTTAGAGATAGGTATCACAGAGGAAGAGTTAAGACGAATTTTTAACCGTTACGGTATTGTAGAAGATATCGATATCAAAAGACCATTACCAGGCACTGGTAATGCTTATGCCTTTGTACGCTACCAGAACTTGGACATGGCCCATCGCGCCAAAGTGGAACTCTCAGGACAATACATAGGTAAATTCCAGTGCAAGATAGGTTATGGCAAAGCGACACCGACCACAAAAATATGGGTTGGTGGTCTTGGACCTTGGACTTCCATTTCTCAATTGGAAAGAGAATTTGACAGGTTTGGAGCCATCCAAAAAATTGACTATGTCAAAGGTGATACGCAGGCCTACATTTTGTATAATTCAATTGATGCTGCAACTGCTGCTGTTAAAGAAATGCGAGGGTTTGCCCTTGGAGGACCAGAGCATAAGTTACGAATTGATTTTGCTGATGTTGCCAACTATCCCGGTAAGAGTCGCTCATCGTATCCTGAAGATATGGCCTCTGGAGCAGGTGATTTCAGATCTCGCTCTAGTGATTTTGCCAGTTATGATTCGCCATATGATCCATGGACGGAGAGTGACCCGTACGGATCAAGAGTGTCCAGGGGCCGAGGCAGCAACCGCAGAGGTGGGTATCGAGACGGCTATGATGATGATCTAGCTAGACACCCTGATTACGACAGAATGAAGAGTGAACCCCGTTCCAGGTCCCGTTCGCCTAAACACCGATCCATGGACAGTGACTCAGGCTCGGAGAGTGGTCGTGCCAATGGAATCTTAGGCTCATCTAGGACACTCGTAGACCTTGCAAGAAGATGTATTAGTGTTTGGAGTGGTGCACTTATTCTCAAGAATTCTCTGTTTCCAGCCAAATTTCATCTCACCGACGGAGATCCTGAAGTTGTTGATACTCTCATGAAAGATGAAACCGGTAAACATCTCCTACGAATTACTCAGAGACTTCGACTTGACCAGCCAAAATTAGAAGATGTTTCCAAACGTATAGCCACCTCCAATTCACATGCTATCTTCTTGGGTTTACCAAGCTCTGGTTCGTCTATTACGAGCGATGATGCCTCTGTTCAGACTCGGCCTCTCAGAAACCTGGTGTCTTATCTGAAGCAGAAAGAAGCTGCTGGAGTTATTTCTTTAATTCAGAAAGACACAGAAGTAACAGGAGTGCTGTACGCATTTCCCCCATGTGCATTCTCTGCAGAACTTTTGAAACGGACCGCTCATAGCCTCACGGAAGATAGTTTAAAAGAAGATCACCTTGTCGTTGTTGTGGTTAGAGGGGGCACGGCTTGAATCATCTCAAACTGAGCATCATCAGCAAAAACCTGTAGATACTTGTTTTGTATTATTAGTCATTTCAGTATCATTGCTATATTGATATGTCTTAGTCACTTTAGATTTATGTACCTAATTTGAATTGCAGCGGAAAATTACTGGATACTGTGGACTAGAATATCGCAAGGGTTTTTTTGTCATTAGGTTCTTTTACTGCGCTTTTGTATAGTTTACGCTGACCTCTTGAGATCAAGACTTTACTTTCTATATACTTATTTATTATTTATTTATTTTTATTTTTTTCCTCGGGTTTTTGAACCTATGCCTATCATTTAATGTACCTATTTTATCTTTTATTGTTTTTTGAGATAGTGAGATTGACTTTTCTATTCTTGTTACACTCCTTTATTTATGTATATATATAAAAAAATTTATTTGAATATTTTGGTATTCAGCAATTTTAGAGAATCGTCATACAATCAAGTTAAACCTCAGCATCCTCCCAAGTTTTTTTTTTACATTTTTTACCCCCATCCTGTCGGCATGATACTCTTTTTGCTTAGCTAATAAGTGGGCTGCTCATCAAGATCGTAATCTTATCAAGTGTATAAATACATTCTACTCACTTTAATTGTTAAAAATTACACTTCATGTGTGACATTTCTATCAACCAGACTGCACATTTAAGTGCTCACTTTAACCTAGGACATAGTATTTTCACAAAGAATAAGAAATGGATCAACTGCTTTTCATTTTTAGACAAAACAAAATCTTAGTAGACTCTGGTATTTGTCACTAAGATTGTTGGTAATTTTTTCTCACAGCTGGGTGATATTATTTTAATTTTTTGTTTTGTTATAAATGTAATGGACTCATTGGCTCAATCGCACTAGGTTCATTCAAAGGGGAAAAAAAAGAAAAAACTTTTTGACTAGCTCTTATCCACACAAGGAAAGTAGTAGCACATGTGTTGTTTCTAAAATTAACCCGAAATAGTTCCTTATTGCAAACTGTAGTAAAATTTTGCAAATGTATACTTACAATTTTCTGGGTCAAAATAATTAAGATAGTGTCAGCTGTGTTCTGCCAAAGTCTCCATTACATTCTAAACTGTTGAAATCCCTTATGTGTGACCTAATGTAAACCAATATCTTTTTAAAAATGATGATCAAATTTCTTTTTGGTAGGAAGGGAAGCAATATTATTAATGGTACCTGTTGATCAACATTGGTAGGTATGTAATGGTCTTAAAGACATAAATTTACAAGCAATCACGTTTTTGTTTTTCTACCTGTACCGTAAGTGATTTTGCCTGGTTGCCTGTTGTTGGCTTAGCATAAAATATTACCAGATAGCAATCATTTCACTTACAAGGGGTGGCTCATAGGAGGCCACCTTTGATATTGAAAAGCTTGCAGTCAAAAATAGTGTAAGTCTTGCTAATAGATGAGTGCCTCATAGTTTCTAAAAAGAGGCCCCCCATACCTTCTAAAACTTTTTCAGAAAACCCTCCCTGCAACTAACTTTTGCCATATTCACTCAAAGTACTTCAGTGCTCTTAAATTAAAAACCATTTTTGGACCATTTTTCTGGGGGTATTGGGGGCTTTTTCGCGTGAACAGAGAAAGCACAACTGTCAATCAGCTTAGCACAATCTTAGCAGCAGCACAACATGTGATCAGCTTTTCTGGTTGCAATTTGTGCTGCTTACCTCAGCTCAGTTGAAGGTGGCCACTTCTGAATTCTCCTTTGCTCGTGTTATTAAGCCTGCACCATGATCTGAAGCAGAGCTTCAGTAAAATCAATAATTTACACTTCACTTTTGTCAAGCTTTAGTTCAAAGCAACGTTGCATCTGGATTTTGTGTCATAAAATTGCAAACCTCCATTCAAAATCTGTAAATAAGACCTTTCTATCCATGCCCTGCATTTCTGTAACATTGTTTTGAAAATTAACTATCCAAAGGAAAAAGGAAACTGTCATCTAGTCTATGGAATTGTAATTTTAGTGGAGCAATTTGTATTAAGTCAAATGAAAAAACAATTGTCAAGAATTTGACAGGAAACTTTCTCGAGTAACTCAAAGAAGAAATAACAATTGATTTAGTGCATTTTGTGTCAGTTGAGGGGGCAAAATTGCATTTTAACAAATTTTACTTCAATAATACAATGCACCCATTAAATTTTTGTACTTACAGCACTCCTCTATCCTTCAGTGTCAATAACTGATTTCTTAGTTTTGTGGACTAAAGTTCCTTTTCCTACGGACGGTCACCAACATTTCTGCTGGAATTATCGCAGCCAAAGGTATCTCATTTGTGAAGAGCATGGCAAATATGATACCAACAGTGTCGGCAAGAATGATATTTCATTTCATTTGTGGCACTAAAAAAAAATGCACTTAAAATATAAAAATAGTTTTATTTCTGAGAACAGAAACAATTACTTTCCCAGAAACTTTGATTTTCTATGCACCGCAAAAAAATTTCTCAACTAATTACTTACATGTCCAAATAATTTACTTCCCTTCCAATAAATGGAAGTACGTATTGTAGAATTTTTTACTTAACATTTATTGAGAAAAATCCTCACTTGTTGATAAGTTGAAAAAGCCCTATTATAAGTGAAGCATTATTAAGGTTCACTCATCATATTTTCAGACTGAGAGCTCAAATATTGGAAATCACCAATAAGTGTCTTGTTTTACGTGCCATGGGCATACAGATCGGTGTATTCACTATGAACTGTAACAGTCAGTAAGTCTCGTTTGAGCTATGTATGAGAGAACTCTGCCCTTCACATTCAAAGCCAACTGGTAAATTCATCTTTGTCAAGCTCTGATATTTTGGGTATCATTTCATGTAAAATCTGTTCGTTACTCTTGTGTTGTTATGATAACCTAATTTTTAATCCAGTGTCAAGCTTTCTCTTCCATTGATCGGGAGTGCCAAGTGAAGCCTGGATTGGTGTTTCGCGTCGTTTGTCTGTGTCCCGCAACACGTAGCCCACCAAGTGCTCTGATCATCTGAATGTTTCTATCGTTGCGCAGTGTTTTGCCGGTTCCTCAATCATTCAACATCAAATGCGACATACTACGGATTGCAGCTCAATCTTCGGTTTTTGAGTATCTATTGTCAAGCCCAATCTTGCTTTTTTTTCAATTAATCATCAAACCAAAAATATTCATTTCGCGTTATGTGCATTAAGAAAGTAGTGTTTTTCTTGTGCTTTTATCCTGCGGATTTTTCGCCCCCAAATTTTCATTTTGTTATACTTCAAAGTGTAAAGCATCCGAATGTGTGATTCTATTGGATTCAAATAGATTATGAATATATTTAAACGAAAAAGTGGTTTTGTTTTATTTTGCCATCAGCACATTCTTTCTAATGCTTTCGATATTTCGATACTCAATTCAAAAGTTCCTGTGCCGTTCGCTAAGTTCATCCAGCAGTGCTTTTTTTGTGCGGTTTTATTGGAAACGAGGAAAATAATTGTTCTTAAGTGACGAAGGAATATAAAAGGGAAATTTAAACATCTTATAACTCTACCTGCCAGTCAGCTATGATTCTACTATACTTCTCTCAACAACATCCCCTTCTTAAAATTCATAGCTGTGCACAAAGAATTTTCATCGCGGATCTATCATTTTGCTTTTCTTTGATGTCCATTTAATTTTAATTCATTGACATTTAATACTTTTCAATCAGTGTCGGTTTCTCTGTGAAATTAAATGAAATCTTGGTTGGCGTAAGAGTGGAAATAATATAACGACTTAATCTCTAGATTTCATTTCCTGGATCAATGGTCGTCCAATCAAACACTGTCTCATCAATTAGTGCACATGTTTCAATCACTCCTGCACAGTGGACAAAATTCACTGAGAAGTTTAAATTTTCCTATCATTCGACACTTAAAAACAAATGTGAGAATAAAGTGTGTTCATAAAGCCTTCACTTGGTTTTGGATAGTGAGCTGTGATGTAGTGAAAAATGTTCAAAAGCACTTGATAACGAGCCTCCCAATTTTGGTTCCATTAAAATCTTTAACTATCACTGCGCTTTTTTAATATTTTCAGTGGAAATCTCAGTGAAAGTGTTTCGCGGGAGCAAGCGAATTCTTTTCTTAAGATCATTCAAATTTGGAAAAACAAAACAATGCTCAAGTGATCTTTCCTCAACTTGCCATCAATTTTTTTTAAAAATCAATCAAGAGGAATCTAAATCTAGTGAGTGTGACGATTTCCATCTGCATATCAAACTTATCACCAGCTTCCTTGTGGAAACTCAAGTGAATACATCATTCAATCTCAAGTGCTTAAAAGTGCAAAACCCTCTCAAATCAATGATGATTAGTTTCAATGAGCAAATTTTAACCCTTTTACGGCTATCTGAAAACATATTAAAATGCGTGAAAGCAATCATATTTGTGCATTCTGCTCCAATACTTCAATTTTTTCACCGATTTACTCACCTTGAGTGATCTTCATCGCGGACTCCATTAATAATTTCAAGTGAGGTAGTGCCGATCCTGATAACTCAAGTGAAAATTACTTCAATACCTTTTTAAAGATCTCTTTTTTAACCAGCCTCAGAAAGTGAACCAATTTTTATGATTGAACGCACTTCAATTAAAACAAACTTAAATGATACAATTTTTTCATTCCGCGATTTATGTGTTTGAGTTTTTTACTTGATATGATCATTCAGTTAAGATTGAAAACTTTAAAATGAAAACAATGAGTGCCCATCAAACCTAAATCTATTCTACATCTCATACCAGGCCTTTAAGGAGCTCATTTTAGTTTTCAATTTCGAAATTAAAGTGCCCTTTATGGCAATGCTCACCTAAATTTGTTTTGACCAGTTATATGCGGCTTCCAAATTAATTTGAAGTCATCCAAACTCTTTTTACTCGATCCTATAGGGAAAAGTTTGGAAAAATAATAGTGTGACATTAACAGCTCTTGTATCAAAGCAATATCAAGCCAATTCATGAGTGAATTTTCTCCTCAAAAGTGAATATAGTGTGTGTCGGACTTCCTCAAACATCTATGCTGCAAGGATGGACTTGATGTCTTGGTCTCATGAAAGGACAGTACCATTGGACTCATATAGTGAAGTGAATTTCAATCCTTATAACTCTTGGTCAAAATGTCTTTTGTCATTTCTCTAATTTGTGTGCTTCATCCACAATTTGTGGAGACACTTGAAATAGGTACTTGGACGTCCTACAGGTTTTCACAGACACATGTTCTAATTGAAAATACTTGAATTCTGGGGAATCCACTTGATACTTTAACTCGAAGCTCTGTTGGAAAACTTAACAAAATTGACTAAATCTTGGGTTATCACCTAAAATCTGCCGAAGATTTAAGTAAGATCAAGAACTCTAGAGACACCATGCTCCAGGTCCAAGTAGCTGAAATCTTGTCTACTTTTGCTTCAGGTATTTTCATGTACAGTTCACGAGGTCTGAACCATTGTTGTAATTTTAGAAAAAGCCAGAGTTAAAAATTTCATGAATTTTCAGGTTTGTCGGCGGTCTGGAAAACCGGGAAAAGTTACGGAAATCAATGTGTTTAGCATTAAGCAGAAGTGAGTGTAATCANGGGGGGGGGGGGGGGGGTCCAAAGTGGAAGTTACATTCGAATGCAGGTATTTCGAAAATTTTGGACCCAGGGAATTTGCAGATGAAGAAATCATGGCAACCCTGATTTTCGAAATTAGATATGTTAGGCCTCAAAAAGCCCAATAAGCCCAGTAAGAACTCATCCATAAATGATAGGCAGAAATGATCCCGAGTCGTAATTTAGAGCTCTTTGTCCAATTCTCGATGATTTTTTTTTTTTTTTTGCTGATTGCATACTTAGCCCACGAAATTTCGTTAAAATTAAGGTGAAAATAAAATCCACGCCTTTCGCATCTTCAGATAGAGCCCGTCAAATTGAAAATCCCGCGCTGAATTCGAATTGAAATAGCAGCGCGGGCAGTCTGCGCGATGCGCGCCGCCAGCTTGGGCACGTCAAAATCCACGCTAAAGACATCCCTTCCATCGTTCTTGTTTGGTCCTCATTATTACTTAAGTACTTCACACTATCGCTTATCAAGTACTGTAAATTTATCTCTGGGAAATTTTTCTTTTAATTTTTGATAAGACACTCTAATAACCTGATTTAATGAAGTCAATGCATTGAGTGAAGCACACCGTACACCGCACCTGTCTGCGGGCTGATTGTTGAAATTTATGGACAAAGAAGACAAAAAGGACTTGGAAGGATCCTATCGGAGGAAGCAGGTGGCTACGATGGACAAAAGAGGTAGTTGATAGACTAATTAACGGCAGCCGACAAGAGACTTTTCAGTTGTCCATCATATTCCCCCTCAATCTATAAGAACCGATACTCCCGATGTCTTCTTTGTCTATCAATTTCAATTATCAGCCCGCAGGTCTGTACGGCGTTAGCTTATCGATAGCTAAATATTAGGAACAGCGTATCTTCATCGTAATGCATACATATCTCTGGTTGGTTTTTTGTTTTACAATTTTAAAACACAAAATTTGTGACCAGCCAAAACTATCCCCCTATAGTTGTTGATTCCTCGAGCAATATACAGAAGTGGAAAGTTATCTTAGAATTACAAGCAACGGTTGCTTTCAAGTGACCTAATTTGCTATTATTTTTTTCTTTTAGATTTCTTTAAAAAAGAAAAAGAAAAAAGGAGATAATCAATCGCATTTTATAATCAAAGAATCGGATTTTTCTCCTCTTTTTAGGATAGAATGCCCACACGAGACAAGAAGTTTAAGAACCGAATTTTGAAATCGCAGATCAGTATAGGTTTGTGAGCCGCATCTGCGGTGACTACATTAAATAACATAACATGCTTCGGCCCTAATTTCCCCCTCTCCCTCGGTACCTAACTGCTGATCTCACTGTGATATTCAAGTAGCTGTACCGTGTTCGGCGCATCTCTACTCCATGAAATTCTTCGTGAATACAGCCATTTTAGATTCCAAGAAGCTTTTCGATCGGATTATCCCTTTAAAAAATAAGCTTATTGCAACGTCGAAATCGAGGTTGCGTCTTACAGCCCCCGAGGGAAGCTGCGCGGTTTAGCTGTGGGTCGTCGCGCGCCTTCAATTCCGCGCGACACTCCCCGCACTACCGCGGAGTTAGTTTAGTTGCGTGACCTAACCTAACCCAATTCGAGTCTTCCGTGGCAGTTCCACGCTTCATTTACGTGGATTTGAATTGGATCGGAATCATTATTCAAAGTGAATCAATGCCGGAAATAAACGAGTACTTTGATACCGAACATTCTGCTGCTTTAGGTACCGACTTCTTCCTCGATTTTCAATTAAAGGCAAGGCTCAAAACGTGGATCGACCCAGTAATACCCGCGGCTGCGGCAGGTGGCTCCTGCTTACCGATAGCCAATGTTGAAAAAACAGTGGAGCATTGACCGGACACCGGAAATCATTGATTCAATCATCTCATTACTTACATAGCCCTCACGAGCAATGGATTTCAGCGCCGAGCAATTCGCTGTCCCGTATAATCACAGTCTGCTTCCTCACAGTCGCTCGCATCCCACTGAAGTGGGTGTCGCGTTCAATCCAAGGTCGTCAGGTTGTGCGATTAAAGAGGAGTACTTTGAACGGGTTTAAATGGGGGAAGTGCTAATTTTTCAGCACCATTTGGTAACAACGGTTCAATCTTTATTAAGTGATGTGCTCGACTCTTCGGTAAACGTAGGGCGTATGCGTAAGTAGCTCGTGTGACCCTATGTCGACCGCAGCTTGAGCGTAGAAAATGAAAATGCTGAATCCGTCGAGATTGCGGTGAAATTCCGCCTGATTTTGAAAATGATTTGTGGAAACTTAGGAAGTTTTCCTTATATTACGTAACGCCAAATTTGTGGTTTTTGACACCCCCGCCCCTCGTGACGCTCCGTAACGCTGTGCTAGACTCCCCTAAAAAATTACATAACGCTCGCCCGGACCCCCCCCCCTCCCTAACCATCTAAATATCACCTTGTAATTACTGAACGGATTAGCGTTTCTATTTAGCGAGGAAAATTGAAGGAATTGGAGAAAATATATTCGAGAATCTTCATAACTTCTAATGATGACCGACGAAAAATTCTACAGAAACTTGAGAAAATGATCACTTAAAAGTCGTTACGTATCACTTTGCTCTATACCCCCCCCCCCCCCAANTAAAACGCTGGCAAATCGCGCCCCCACCCTTGGAGCGTTACGTAAAACGGCCCTTTCGGAACAAAAACATAGACGAGATTGGAATTTTAAAATTGAACACAGAAAATAGGACGCTTTTTTATTTACCTATAGTTACCTTGCCGTATGACCGCATTGTACAATTATCCTTGATTGGCTGAAAAATCCTAGCCAAGTTCAATATCCATACCTTGCAATAAATAAACCGATTTTCGATGTCTTTCTCGTGCCGACGTAAAGTATGAACAACCATATAGCCTGCTGGAATAGGAACCCTATCAGTTCTTACGTAATGAGCAAGAAACTTGGTTCTAGCTCCTGCATCTCTGTGATCATGCAATCTCAGCTGCACGGACGTCGAACTACTTGTATCTCTCATGTTGGCCATGCTCAGCGTTTCAAATAAAAAACGCTTTCACAAATCGGAACTAAACTTTATGGCATGGCTCATCAGTTGAAGCACTAACGCGCATTGGGTAACTATTAGAACATACGATGCTCCTGAACAGAGTGAAAAATTGTAGTTCATGATTGCTAAGAGCAATATAAATGACGGCAAGACTAACAGTTGGGGACCTGTGCTGAAAATGTCCCGTAATCATTTCCTCAGATTTCATTGAGGGCATTTGCAGGTAGGCAGTTCAGCACTGAAATAGTTCAGGAAATTTTGCCTATACCTTTCACGGAATAAAATGATATTGCTGATTTAACAATATAGTTAAAAAAAGGGTCAGACATGTTTCAATGTAGATTTTACATATGGAAAAATGCTAAACACCCCCGTGGTTAAATTAGCTTTCCACTATAGTAATAAAATGTACATTTGAAACATGCCGCCTAACACATTTTTTAATAATTTAATTTTTAAATCAGCAATCCATTTTTTTCAGTGTTTTAAGTATGAATTAAGGATACACCTATCTTAAAAAGCTCCCTCCTTCTCTTCTCGAGGTTTGGCAAGGATGACGCACCTAATTTCTATCCTTAATCACATGTACCTATTTGATTTGTTCTTGTTCCAGGGAAGGTAAGTCTCATCAGGGATTCGTGAAGCTCTTACAGTCAGCGTCAGAAGATGGGCCGGTCAGTCGCCTGAGTTTTACAGCTGCAAGTCGGACTTGATATCGGCCAACCTGCAGAGTCCCTCCGAACGTTCGACTTGCTCATGTAACGCTCAGTTCGATTTTTATCTGGGGGGTCGCGTTGCGCATGACCGGTCCTTCTCTGGCGCGCTGTTTGTACCTTCTTGAGGACTTGGAATTCTTCTGCAAGTGCTTAACCAAAGAAGCTAAGTATATACTATTTTAAAAACAACTGATGTTAAAGGCAATTTTCAACAATAAAATTGCATTATCTGATCGTGAAATCGGAATATTTTTACACATTCTTTGATCATTGAATGCCAATTTTAAACTATCAATAGTACAAGTTCCATGTATCAAAAAATGAAGGGCAATTTGAAATGCAAAGAAAAAGTGCATCTGATCTCAATAATAGGAGCCCCTTCAGTTAGTAGACAGACAAATTGCACAACACTCTTATACAGAGGCAATATTTTTACCATGTAATAGCTTTATATTTCATCCTGCGTGGCTCATCTCTCCGGCTTTCTTCTTGGTTATCAGTTGGAAAAGATTAGTCCTTTTGCCTTGAATAATGGGCTAATACTGCACACCACATATCGACCGTAAAACTGCAGGAGCTTTTATGCCAGTTTGTGACATTGCAGACTTACCCTTCTTCTTTTTTTAAATGCATGGAAGAGTGCTTGATGTGCTCATTTTTTTTCTTGGTGTGAAGAATATTCTGAGAAAATTTCAAGAAATAGCATCGGTCTGTGCTCCTTTAAGATTATAAAACACAGCAAATGAGATACATGTTCCTGCAGTTTCACCCTTTTTAACATGGGAACTAATAAAACCTAAAAAATTAATTTGAACACACTCAAATCACTTGATTTTGTAGAGGGTTGCAGTAATTTAATCAGTTACTTAAAACTCGATGAATTTGAAAATTCATCTACTAAAAACAAAAGTATAAAATTTTAACAATAGACGCCCTTACGATACAAAATGTACAAATCATAAAATAACAAAAAATTAGGTAACTTCGTAATGTTTAATACTTTTGATTCCAATTTCCTGATGCAATAGAAACACCTGATGATGATTAGGTTGTAGAGACAAAATAAGAGAGGAAAAAATACACTGATTTAGTGCCTACGTCATTCAATATAATATCGAGTTCTTGGTTCAAACCAAAACAAACTAACATCACCTCATGTGCAAATTCTTCATGAGTAAATTGAGTTAATTGATTAAGATTTAGTCATTGACTGGTTACAAACCAATTAAAGACTCATTAAATACGAGAACTAACGATTGTAAAAAACACTTGGACGCATTTTACCACCATGGTGCGAAGGGCGCGAATCAGAAACAAGGTTCTGTGTTTGCTTACATTTGATGTCTATTATTTTGACTCCTCGAGTTCCCCAGCACATACTAACCATTTTAAAAATCAACCTTATAACAAGTAAAATTATACTGATTTCATTTGAGAAAGTAAGAGAATAAAGATTCCCTTGGAAAACATCTTTCAGCTTCTTATAAAGTAGCAACTAAAGTAGAAGTGTAATAGAACTGTAAATGAAAGTTTGGCAGCAATTTCAAGGACATTTTATACATCATGGCTCAAATGATTGAAAGAAAAACAATATCTTTAATTTTGTTTCCACATGAAATTGGAATGTAGACTTGGCTGAAAATTGGTAACTTCTTTTTTTTAGGGAACGATAAGCATGTAAACTTAAGGATTAAAAAGGTTCGACTCTGTTTCAAACACTGGGCTCAGTTTTTGGCACTGAAGAAACTAAGAATTCTTTGAGTAGGTACTCGTAATTATTCTTTTGGATAGATTGTTCAAGAAAGGACTTCGAGCCTCTACCATCAAGTTGAAAAATAACAAAACAACTAGACAGTTCTAAATGTATCTTATAAAAATAAATAATTTAAACATTTTAAGTAGGTATGTACTTACCACCCAAAGAAGTAGTAATAGGGCATGACATAACTCATAAACAAAGGAAAAATCTTTAAATTTTGGAATGTATGCCCTTACTCCATAACAATGCTTGATCAAAATTTTCTACAGCTTTTCATTATAAATTTTCAAATAGTATTTATTCAACTACGGAAGAGCATGATCTGAGGCCTTCTCTCTGTGATAGGGGCTAGAAAATGAGGCAAATTGTTGGATTGTTTCATTCAAAACACCGTGAAACTAGAATAGGATCTTTCGCAGATGAAATGAGAAAACCTGGAAAGTTTGGTTTAAGTTCCTCTATACACCGCAAAGAGACCTTGATAATACCCGGGTACCCTGAAAGAATTCAATGCAATCTGAGTATGGTTAAGTAATTTCTTCTCACAATGTCATAGACATTGCAGTCTGCCTTTTCCCACTTTTCCCACATATACAATCAAAGATAGTCTATTTTTAGCAAAAATGAACTCAGAAGGAGGCAATTGCACGAGTAAGAGCATCGTTAGTTAATAGGAATGCTCAACCCCACGGATTTATTCCAGAAGTAGTTGCGAAGTATTCTGTAAGAGGATGACTGGACATGTTGCAATTTGGAACTAAAATCGACTCACTTTAGAAACAAAGAGCCATAAGTTTTCATACGTCGAAATGAGCTGTTCAAATGCGTCAGAAATTGTAGTTTCTGACTGCAAAATAAAGTCCAACTAAGTCAAGGTCTGGGTATTCTGCAGTGTTCCGAAAGAAGGCCTTATGAATCATGTATTCAAATTGAGGTAATCACATCTGAAGTCTGCTACAGGCTTCTCCTCAGGACTTAAAAAATTTAAATTTGGACATTGTCTCATTGATTGTTACATTCCTCGACTACCGGTTTTCATCTCAGTTGTATGAAATCCCTGGTAAAAACTTTGACAAGTTCCAAATGTTCTACCCATCGAAACTGGCGGACAGAAAGTCTGATTACGACGAGAACAGGCTATTCAACTGACTTCCAGAATAGCCTCTGGTCTTTCACTCGGGGCCTTGCTCCAGGAGGATATTGTTCCACAAACTTTTAGCGAGCTTTTTTCTCTCTCGCTGTTGGACTACGTCGGGATGGTGGTCTCTTCGCCTACGATTTTGGAACCAGTAGTCCACATTCTGCCTTGTTGGTTGAATGTTGCTTGGCCCAAGATTACACAGCACATCTGCATAGCGACACATCATACTGCCATTGGGATACCTGATAACAAGAAGAACTACCTAAGCATTTGGAAGTAACCGTGATAGGAAATTAAGGGTCATTAAGAATACGACAAGCAGACAATTTGGGATCACCCATTTACGGTTGGAACAATTGAGGTAGATTTCTAATTGTAGTTGGTGCATTAGGGTAAAAGAGTTTGGGTATATTTTTGCTGGAAGGAACTTTTTAAACAAGATTCGCAGGTTTCACAGTTCCCTTTGATTGGATTCATTCCAATGGCCAAAGCGCAAAACCATGTACCTCCATCTGCAACGTTACAAACTTCCTGTCATACTTCATTTTTTCTTTAGAAAGCTAATCAGTACAATTACTAAGAAACCTCCTTGATTTTCCTCCTCTGTGAACAGAATATTCTGTATAAATTTTAAGCTAAAAAGTTGGCTCGTTCCTCTGCGAAATAATAAAATGGGAGTGGAAATTTTGATACACCGCAATGAGGAGGCGAGGTTTCAAACTTTAGACATTGACTGGTAGTTCTTTTGAGCACTAGTATGTCCTGATGCTGATCGGGGTAGACACTTTCAACTGGACAAGACTGCGTTTCTTGAATTAGTCTAACTCAAAAATGCATACTTCCGATTGCGATGTTGTACACACGTGTCCATGATTAATTTTTCTGTAAGGAAATAATAGTTAACTGGTTCTTCGTTTTTTTAAAAAAATTTCCAATGCATTTCCTTCAGTTTTTCAGAAAAGAACAGAAAACTATTAGATATTTGGATAGGTAATCGTTTGAAAAAATAAAACTGTCAGAAATTTTGAAATTCTTTCTGTTCAGATACAAACTCCTTTGACTTACACTTTAGAACTTCTGTACAACTTAAAAAAAGGACTAATATCTCAGCATTTTTACCTGTCTGTTCTGTACCAAGTGTCCAGCTGTTTCAGTTGTTCTTTTGTCCACAGTACCCTTTGTCGAGGAGGTTTCAAAGTTAAACTGTGCAACTGATTACAACTATCTAGGGTTGATTGGGATTGCAAATCTAAAATAAACAAAAAATGCATTGATACCATGAGCAGTTGAGAGACCGGGCATATAAAAACGTAAATATAGCAGCGGAGTGCATGCTAGTAGATTTGCTGGAGTCTTAACTGTTTCAACATTTGAAGAAGAAAGTTAAAGAATAAAATTTAAAATTTAAAGGTACATTTGAAATAGAGTGAGGGAGCGTTGCAATGACGTGTTCCAAGAAATTAAGTGTTTCAAATCTGCCACCATTGATGTAATTTGGGAATGTATCTTAAATCAAAGCTTACTACTCAAGTAAGTTTTCACAAGGCCTTCAATCAATTGGAATTTCTTGCAACCTGAACTGCTTGTGCAACTACTGAGAAGTCAACATATTACTATAACTTAATAAAAAGATTTATAAATTCACCATTGTTATCTACACACACATGGTGACTTAATAATTGAAAACGAATAACTAAGCTTCTGGGAATTTTTCAGGTTTTTTAAACCCTAAACGGCGAAGAAACCTCCATTTCAAAATACCAAAAATGGGACCCGTTTCAAATGATATTTTTAGCCAGTTCTGATGATGCAGCCAGGCAGGGGAATTAGCGGTAACTGATTGGCTGAATTCCGCTTCAGACATCGCCCTGCTAGGTCAATTCTATTGCTGGCTTTTGATTGGTCAGATTTTGATAAGCTTCTTCCCCTTTGAAGATGATTTTTTAAACTTCTTAGCTTTTTTTAAGAAATTTTACAGAGGGAAAACTATACTACAACCCTGCAAGAATTCATTGCCTCTGCCCCATTGTCTATTTCCATATGGGTGAGTAATAATCAACTTACTTGGACTAAAAAGTAAATTCTGATGCTGCCCAGTATCATCTTGTAGATCTGGTATGTAGTGACTCAGTCCATCAAATGATAACTGGAAACACACATGAAAAAAATTTGATGTAAACATATTAGATTTCAGACAGAGCATTGAAAATAGGATTCTTGTCTTGAAGTGAATTAACATATTCTCAATCAAAGCCAAGTAAAGGTATGCATATTGACAGTGAAACTACCAGACAACAAATCTCGGTTTTTGATGTTGCATATGAGGACTTATATGTAACAATGGCGGATGTGAAAAATCACCTTTTTTAAACACATTCAAAAAACTGTTTTGGCATTAAGAAAATTTTGAGAAATTACTTGAGATGTGATCTTCAAGATCTGTTCATTAAGCCAGAGCCAAACATATTACATTATTGTGTGAACAAAACAGTTTTTTAAGCGTGTTTCGAAAAGGTAATTTTTCACATCCGCCATTGTTACATAAAAGGCCTCATATAATTCCTGTTATACTGTATTTCTTAAATGGAATACTACTCAACGTCAATTCTTGAAAACTTCCTTGATGATTGAGCGAAGGAAACTCTGTTAAAACTTCAAGGAATGATATTGGTTTGTTCTACGTAAAAAAATAAAATGGGAGCAGAGCTTTTTAAACACCGCAAAAGAGATACATGGTCTAGTAGTTTCACCGTCACTAAGTGACTAACCACAGGAAAAGGGACCTTGGCCTATTGAAACTCAAAATTCAGTTGAGGATCAATCCACATGAGCGAGTCATTTCTGTGGATGAGTTTAGAGCCTCCACTTTACATTTTTGGTCAGAAGTTTAAACACGATGAATTTCTCGTAGGAGAAGTTAAACAGTGAGCAACTAGACATGGTCTGAGCTAGGAACAGAAATCTCACATCTTTTCATAGCACAATTTCTTTGAATCAGTTGAGGATACAGCTTTTTGGTTTGGAAAATACTCCTTCAAAGAACCGTGGACATTTTTTTTGGGTGGAACCAGGGGACCTCCCCTCAAAAGGAGGGGCAGAGGACAACTTGAGGATTTCAAACTCAACCCATCCTACAATACCTTGGTGGAAAGAACATATAAATACATGATTCTTTTGACAAAAACCCCAGGTCTTATCACCATTTCAAAACAGCACCCAATTAAAGTTCAAAAGGGCAGGAAATCGATATGGCAGTTGTTTACCAACGACCTAGGATGAAACTTGATTGCCAGAAGTTTTTTGGCTTAAAAAAAAAAAAAAAAAAAAAAAAAATCTGACATTGAAATCTAAGAATTTTAACCTTCATTTCAGATAGTGACCTTAAAAATGGAGAGAGGTTGGTATTTCGCTTGTTTACTAGACTGACTGTCTAGAATGAAATTTGGTAAGCATGGTTTTTTTGGCACAAGTAAAATAAGTAGGGCAACAGAAAAAAAGGAAGTAAAAAACTTGTTGCATATATTATTTTAATAGAGATGATACTTACACTTCTGTGGTCCCGAACACTCAGAGGAGGATCTGGTATCATCTGAGATGTACAACCATTGTCTGTTCTCCTATCTTCGGCGTGATCTTCAATGGGAACATTCTGGTGAATAAGATAAAAAGTAAGCAGTGTCAGTGCAGTTGGCCTATGAATGAATATTACTCCAAGTATTTAAGAATAAATTTTTTTTTCAAAGAAGAAAAAATGCTACGAGAAAGATGACTTGCAATAATAAAAGAAAAAACAAGCTGGGTTGGTGAAGTTGGCGAAAAAATGTAAATTCGTCACAATCTTTAGATAAACTTTTGTTTTGAAATTAAGAAAAAAAGTACAAAAATTAGGAATTTTAATTGATGAAAAATTAAGAAGAGCCAATTTCATTCTGATAAAAGACCATGTATGTTAAATAAGTTTGCGCATTTTAAGAGTGCGAGAGAAAATCAACTGTCCATGGTTCAGAAATTTAGCATTGAAAGTAAATACACGAAAACAAGATGGTGGATTTTTTGTTTCTCTGAAGAAAAGCTGAAAGTTTTTTGGCAAACAATGTAAAGAAAGGCTGAACTGAATTACTCATGGAAGGAAAACGGCATGGTGTAATTTATTTTGACATACTGTGCCTATGCAAGTTTTGCAGCAATTTCATGCATGAGTTTTTAGCAGTTTTGAGTACTTACAAAACACAATAATGGTTGTTTGGGGCCATTACTTGACAATAACTGAAATGGGAAACCCTAATTGGATACCGGCAGGTTACTCACTTTATTTTTCTTGGTCCTGATGATGCTGAAATTTGATGAATTAAGTGACAATGATTATTTCGCACTAATTGTGTCCATCTTTAGGTCAACTGTTATATTCGCACTCGCGTCAAACTTTTATAAGAAATTAAAACAAACGAAAAACAATAAATAAGGCTAAAATTGTTTTTCGTTTGTTTAGATATCTTATAAAAGTCTAACGCGTTCATTAGTACTAATATAACAGTTGACCTGAAGATGAACACAAATAGTCCGAGATGATCATCATCACTTACTTCATCAAATTTCAGCATCATCGGGACCAAAAAAAATAAAGTGAGATCCCTGCCCCCACGCAACCTGATTAAGTGTTCAAACATTTCCACCCAAGGAGCATTTTTCAATGTAAAAGTTGTAACAAGTTGAAACAATGTTGGTATTAGTTGCAACAAAGTTTCAACTTTCGGTCAACTTTTGGTCGATAAGTGCCGATTTTTGGCGATCTGATCGGAAGACAAAGTTGCAACCTGCTGAGATTACAAAATTGCTGAACCGAAGTTGTTTAAAATCTAAAGATAGGCAACCAGCAATACTTTGAAGTTGAAACATGTTTCAACTTAATTGCAACTAGTTCCAACAATGGTAGCTCCTTCGGAGAAGAGAGTAGGCAATCTGCACATCAATCTATTAGCTGCAAGAATCAAACAATTTTGTTGCAAGTTGTTGCAACCACTGCTACTTGGGCAAGAAGGTAATTGAATAGATTTTTTTTGCTAAATATGTCCATTGGTACATAAAGTTCGAATAAGACTCAACAATAATATAAAGAAAATGCCTAATCTAGTCAGATTCTTTTGTCATGAAAACGTACGTACAGTTTTAGTTAACAGTTGGAGAAAAATTTTACAAAAATATTTACAGAGAAAAAAAGAATTCGCAAAAACTTCATGAATGCGGGTAGGGTGCTTTCATTTTAGGTGGCCTCAAAAGTTAAATGGAAATACAATTTTTAGCTCCTAACAGCAGCACACTTCTTTTGCTTGACTCTTAATTGTAAGAACAAGTCAGCCTCAGTGGTGTAGTGGTCAAGGCAGTTTGCTGCCAACACTGAGGTCCCGGGTTCAATCCCCGGAGGTGACTGATATTTGAGTGTCCNAGCAGCACACTTCTTTTGCTTGACTCTTAATTGTAAGAACAAGAATCTTGATGCATTAATTATTAAATTACTCACTGTGTGATTTGAAGAGGTTTCGTCAAAGCTTTCACAATCGGTTTTGATTTTCTTCGTGTCAAAGGTGTCATAATCACTTTCTGCCAAGTTTTGAGCGGAATTGATAGAACTCTCAGAGGAGTTTGATTTGGTTAATCCTTTTATTTGAAGCATTTCAGCTGTTTTAAGAAACTCTGGCAAACTGTCATTTTCAACATTCACCTCCCCGTAGTACATGAATTTGATGACCAAAGACAACTCTTCAAACCTGACATCTTTCAGGATTACAATTGGATGTGGATGCGTATTTTCATTGAAAATTTTCTGAAAAATCAGAAAAAGGAAAAATTAGTTTGATGATTTGCACATTTACAAGGATGAATAGGAACAAGAAGGTATTATTTCTCTTCTTACACCCTTTTGAAGATATAAGTGAATTCACGGAGACAGCTTGGTTGTAAGACTTATCAAAACTTTAAAAGCAGAATATCAGTGGCCGAAGTGCGTAACAACATACCTTTGTTCTGCAACATTGACAACTTTGCATTGTACTTTATTATTTCTTTGGAGAGCAAGTCAACCTAATTTCTTGAGAATTTCCTTGATTTTTCTTCTGTGTTAGCAGAATATCCTGTGATAATTTCAAGCTAAAAAGATGTTTATCTCTTTTCAACATTTAAATGGAAGGGTTTCTCAACCCCTCTCACACAGTCAAGAGTCCCATGATCCGGTGGTGCCTGCCTGTCTCCTTTCAAGGATTCCTCACCAAGGGGACTGTAGTCTTATCATCGTTCATGAGAATTCTCAATAAAAGGGCTTTGAGCCAAACCTCCTTATGGTGAAATTCAGAGGGTCAAACATGCCTAGCAACTTTTCTACGGTTTTTAGGAAGAAAAGTTAGATGTCATGCTAACACAAGGACTTAACAATCAGATAAAAAGTTGAAAGGAAACTTGAATCCGATGCTACCTCCAACTTTCCATTCAATTAACACCATCAACAGATGTTGACTGGAAAATTGGACCAAAATCTTTTGACCAACATATTGCCGAAGCTGTATCTTTGCTAGATGGGAGCTTCTCTTCTTTCCATTCAATTCTTTGTCAACTTCTGTTGAATGAAAAGTTTGACCATCTTGCATTATACTTAACTAGAGCTGACTTGTTGTCCATGTTCCCAAAAAATACCTCAGCCAGCAAGGTGTTGGTAATACCTCAGCTTTCTAGGCCTAGACTTTCTTCATTACAATTCAAAATAGCTTTCTTCTGCAACTTGTGTTATTTGCCAAGTACTATATCACTCCTAAGGCCTTCAACGACTATGTTACCAGAATATGATCAAAATTAAGGTCTCGTATTCATTTCCAAACCACAATAAATCGCTGTGAGGTTGAACTGAATTCTGAGAATTAAAGACCACTTCCGGAACATAGTTCGGAGTTCTACTTTATTCTGTTGGAGAGCTTTAGACAATTTTAAAAATCTAATGTAATAATGTCTCTCAGACCGCTGCAATTCAGATTAAAATGTAGCGCTACTCTTAGTTCAGCGACAAGCCTGCTTAAAAAATGCAGCTGTTTTACTCAGTGAGTATTGCGCTCATTCAATTACCTGAAAATAGGAGGACCCTGCCGAAAGAACAGTTTGATGTGCTTTCAGTGACTGGCCCTCACATGTTAAGGTTACATCCACAAGATACTCCTTCTCCAGGAGGGTGCACAGTGCATCTCCCAACTGCTGATGAAAACTGCTCCAACGTAGGCAGAATTCTTGGTTTGTTTCACTCATGACTGTCAATATCTCAAGAAATCCTTTGCATCCGAGCGTTGGAAGTTAGCGCATAAAATTAGTTCTCCCTCAGTGACCTGTGACTGCCACTGTGGAGACTAAATGGCAAAATGGTATTTTGGCAAAGTTAATTTTTTCCTCTAAAAACAAGTATCCTCAGTGACTTGAAACATTGAAAGTTAGAGCTGGGAAACAGATAAATGAGGAAGTGGTTTACTCTTTACACTCAGTCGTTGTCCACTATCAGCGAAAAACACTTCACTGCGAAATGAAAAAAAGAACGACTAAAAATGGGAGGATGAGATCTCCAAAGAAAGATTTTTCATTCAATAGGATGAATCTGGTTGACTAAATCAGATGGTTCCTGTCCGCAACAATAAAATAAGTGCACAAAAACTTCTTTATCGTGACCACCCGCGATGGATCTACAAATTCCACGAATCTACAAAACGTAAATAAACAAGTGACGTCACTGAAAGCAGCTGATTCATAGAGCATAAATGATACACAGAGGATACACTCCCATAGTCTGTCTTGCATTTGAATTTGCTTACGCGTACTTATTTCATTTCGGTATCTTTAGTTGAATTTACCGAAAATTTGTCGTCAAATTTTCAGTTTTTGCTTGATAATCGAAGCTAAATTCCAAAGCAATCGTGAAGTTTTTGTGACTACTCTTCGGGGTAAGTTCCACTCAATGGTCAACCAATCACATTGATCAAAGTTATCATGATCATTCCAGAAATTCGCCACTGAGAATGACTCATCTTCGAATTTTATCATCCCTCGGTGCTAAGTGATTTGCAATCTAGACATTTTGCTGCACATCTCGATTTTCCATAAGACTTTTAATTATTTTATGTGTAAATATTTCAAGAAATTGTAACTATGGCCGCTCAAAGCAGTGGCGTTGAATGGGCAAGTATCGTCAGACCAATATTAGCTGCATCTTTTGGATCCTTCAACAAAAATGACATCGGAGAACTTGCCAAAGCCATCATCAAAAGGTTAGTGGATCATCTTGACACACAGCTTTCACAGATTACTACTATTGTGAACCTTTCAACTTTCTGGAAATCTCATCCTCCGCTTCTTTGTTGGTATTCGTTTCCTTGTACCGCTACTGAAACTCTGGAGTACCTAGTCGGCCCTTGCCAGTAAACCCGGAGCACATGATGAGAGGCACCCAAGCATTGACCTTCTTATCGACGACTTAAATCTCTATGTAATAATCCTCTAAGAAAGTACCAGTCAGTCCACAGAAAGTATCTTTCAATTATACTGTAGAACCTCTCAACAGAATATCAGTTTCAACCCAGTGAATTCTGACACAATCAATCGCCATGCCATCTTCTTTGTCACACTGTGCCTACTCATTAGACAGAGAGATAACGGAATGTTCACTTTTATCTGAAGGAAGTCCATGCCTGTTAGTGCATTATGTACCAGGCATTTTTCCTTGCATTTGAATAAATTCATTGTCTTAGCACTTATTGCTCGATCATGTGAAATCGATCATCTCTCTTTATGTAATGCCTGGAGCCACAGGATGACAAACCTTTTAAACTGCTATCTTATGCTGCATGCAGGTAATGATCTTAATGGCTGAAAGTACCTTTCCCTGCAAGTCTCAACATAACTCCAAAATTCAAAATAGACTCCTCCAGGTCCAACATTATCTATTTGTTTTACATTTTTAAGTAACAGACCTTTTAGGTATTTCAGTTACTACACTCCGTGAGGCGAAGTACCTAGTATGCGTTCAGACTTAATTTTCAACATGATGAAAGTTTCAAGTTTATAAAGGGGGGTGAGGACAGCCTATCCAAAAGTTTCTCGCAGCTTTCTTTGTTGTTAACTTCATTGTTTGGAGACTAAATTTTTATGGTATGGTGCTTAAGGTATCCATCACTCCAAAGACCTTTTGAGTTAGCATCTCTTGCTTATCTTTTTGTCAACAGCTGAAGTGATTCTAGGTTCAAGGTTGCCAGGTTGCACGATTAAAAGTGAATATTATACATGGGTTTGAATTGAGAAAAATGCTTATTTTTCAGCACCATCATGCAACATTGCTTAAGTCTTGAATTTTTTTGAAAATGACCTTTTTTGAGCCTTGAATGAGCACTTTTTTAAGGCCCAATCTCTTCGTAGCCATTTTTTCGCTACAATTTGTCTTTTTTCTAATCTACTCTTGCGATAATTTTGCAGCGAAGCAGAGCTACTCAATCATGAAGAAGTATACGAGATGTTCTATACATCCTTTGTTACATTGGCCGTGGATTACATAAGTGCCAACGCAAGCTCAGGTATGGTTGTGTCATACTTCAAAAATGAAATAAAAAAAGGATCTCTTCATCTGTAGGAAGCGCTCAACAAATAGCTTATACACAGGGCTACTCCCCTCCTTTAATGAAAAATAGTAATAGTAATGACAGTACGGGTGAAGTAAAACTCTCCTTCGCCCTTTGCTACTTTTTGAAGTTAAACTCTCTGTAGGCTTAGCTGTAGAAAGGAGAAAGGACATGGTCCCTTCGTATTTTCATAATTAGGATTTGCATTTTGTATAAGAAGCAGAGAATACCTACACAAAAATCTCAACATTTTTGCCTTAACTCATCTGCAGAGGCATTTCGCCTTTTCCTCTTAACTTATATGATATATCTCATTTTCCAATTTTCAACTTAATTTTAACTTTTGAAGCTCAATCATGACCCCAAAAGTTTCTAGTCTACTTCCTGTGTGTGTAAAAAAGTGTATTACTTTTTTGTAGTTTTAGCCTTATTCCTGAAATTAATATCTGTCAATTTTTTCTTGCAGTTGGCAGAGGACAAATTGGGACTGTTTGCTCAGCATGTCGTATTTTAATGGAGTATTTATTGTCACGCTTGGAAGCCTTGAAAACTTCAAATACCGTTTCACTGTTTGGGAAACAGCTGCTGCTTCCTCTTTATGCACTATGTACTGCCAATTCAGTTTTCGAACGCTCCGATCAAATAGCATTGGCAGCCATGATGAAAAATGCAAAGTTGCCACCCCATATCAAAACATCTATTCCAGGTAATGTATGGTCAAAAATTGTGTAGGATCTCAATTGTAGATTAATATTGAAGGAATTTTGAGGAAATAGTGTGGAAAATTATCTAAAGAGCTCTCATGCATGAGTCTTTATCAAAAGAGGTGTGTACAAAATGGGTCTAATTTTGCTCGGATACCTCTCAGATGTGACACACATTCAATCATTAGATTATGCTTTGTCTCCTTCTAAAGCTTTTAGCTCCCTGAATACTATAGGGTGACATGCAGGAGGGGGGGGGTCAAAGTTCATAATCAGTGAAATTTTTGAAAGTACTCTCTTGAGGATCAAGAATTTGAGCAAATCACAGTTTGAACATGTGTTTTCAACTTGACCAGAGCTCTCCAAAAATGTATCAAATTATAGGGGCTCGTTGAATTCAATTTGAGTTATACTAAAATGAATAAAATAATTTTGTGTACTCACTTGCACATATGATCAATATTAAGGGTTGCGTGATGGAATAATTACACCTCCATCAAACAGCTGATGATGGAAGGGTAGTTTCTCCGAAATGCGCCCCTCAAAATTAAGCCTATGTGCAAATGAGCACATAAAATAATTTTTTTCATTTAATATTTGGCTTTTTTCTTTTATTTGTCATCAAATGAATATCTACAAGTGAGTTATTTACAAGTTACTGAGAAATGTGAAAAAGATCAGGTCCAAAAATTAAAAAAGGGGGGCACTGACTGAAGCACACCAAAAAAGAGATCTATGTATCTCAGCTGGTTGGAACATTGCCGGTATCTGCCATGTGGCATTCATCGGCTTTAATATGTTACTTGTGTACAATGTAAATTACTTGTGGCTCGGATAAGTTTTTTGAACTTTAATTGTAGGCTGTGAAACACTGGAATGCTAACCAAAGAAGTTTCACTTTCACCTTTGTTTCCAATTTTAATTCAAATTCAAAAGAAAAATCTCAGAGCAGACTAAAATTTCAGTTAATATAAATTTAATCCTAGAACCAGCAGAACCGAACACCAACTGTTTGCCACTAACTGTTCACTTCTAGTATGTTTACCCCGCAAATCTTCTTGTATAATTTTAGGTGACAAAGATGTCCCAGCAAAAGATGCAGCCAAAAGACCTCGTCTTGATCTATCAACTGCCATCATCGAACAGTTAACCACACCAATGCATGGAATGCTCCGCTCAAAGCCCACGAATGAAGTCAAAGACACGCCTGAATCTGTCGCAGAAAATGAATTAAGCAAGGTTTGTTTATTATGAAGTTCTTTTTTCTCTTTTTTCATTCATCCTGTTTTTTGGAGTTTTTTTCTGTTGTAAGATAGTCTATATTTTCAGATGAGGTTGTTTTAATGGGCATCAGCTGACGCTTCTCTTAAGCTTGTTTTTTCTCACATGTTCAGCATACATTTTTTCTATTAAAACCGGCCACCTCAAAACTATTGAGACACTGACGAAGTTAGTTCGCTAACACAATCCTAACTTTAAACAGTTTTTCAAACTTTTCCTGAAAGCATTTTCATACGAACTTCAGGGCCATTCAGTCATCCTTTTATCATCTCATTGGAAACCCAGTATCAAGTATTTTTTTTTGCTACAACTGTGCTTCATTCAGTGTGAAATTTTGTTTTAAACCACAGTAAGTGTGAAACAATTTATTATGATTCTTGCTTCTCTAAAATGATTTTGTTATCATCGAGTATTTGTTTGACTTCATTATCAGCAGAAACAGACCGTACTGTTTCTTCCTGTCCTCAAAATAAAGTCAAATAGCAATGTTAAATCTATTCAGGGTGATGCAAAAGTCCTACATTACCCCAATAACTCTTAGGGTTCTTGTCTCTTTTCGAGTCAATCCCCTTACAAGTTTTAAGGGCCCCAAAAGTCGTTTCTGTTGACCGAGGAGCATCCCCAAAATTTCAAGTTTCTATCTTAATTTGTTCTAAAGTCACAGGGGTGATATGGAGTGTGGATGGTGTGAGACTTTTGGATCACTCAGTATAAATAATAGTTTCAAACAGGAATATTTTACCGATTTCCTTGGAATTACTGAGTCTTCATCATTCTGACAAGAATAATACTCTGCTGTTTATTGGAAATCGTCCTTTTTATAATGGTGTCTCATGTTTTTGTCTTGACCCTCAGGCACTTTTTATCGAAATAAACACGGCAAATTTACAAGCTCTAAAAGCAGGCGATGTTCTTCTGGACATGTGTTTGAATTTACCTTACCTGACTCGTCACGTACATAAATATTTGGAAGCTGTCGTTGAGAAAAAAGGAATTAGCCTTCCATCAACCCACTCAGAAGCCACTTTTATCAGAGTCAAGTAAGGATTTTCTATTCTTCATATTTTATTTTTGTAATTAATGATCTCCAGTTTGGCTCAATGACAAATCAATGAGGATTTTTAAAATGTTAGCTGGCAGACTGGTCATATGTAACTAGTGCTATTCTGCAGAGACTGTCATGCGTGCTTTTGAGTAGTAGTTGACTACAAGTAGCGACTTGTGGTCTACTGCTGCATCAATCGTTAATAATTCCATCATGAACGTAATCAAGATGTCTCCTGGTTTGGAATTTCCGAAAATAGCACTGAATTTTTAAGGGCGATGTGGAAGTACTGAAAAAGTGTGGAAATTTCGCAAGGAGGTTTGGAATTTTTTCCCTCATACCATGCAGGTTTTTCAATGAAGCCTAGAAAGTATGCAATTTTGATGAAATAACACGCATCATTAGAACATCATACCACACATACATTCAACATACATCATAAATTTTACAAATTCTCACCATGTCTGGTATATTGTATGTATTTTTGCAAATAAAAAATGTATGTTGATTAACAAATGGCAGAATTTTGTACCCAGCTGTGAGTGACCTCAGACCTCCCGAGTGGAGAACAAACTTGAGACATTGAAGTTGCAGGGCAAATGATACAAAGAAAGAAGAGCAGTATTAGGCACTTTCTAGAGGTTTTCTCCATTCATTGCCACTCTATCAGCCAAAAACTTAAGAAATAATCATAGAGCAGCGAATTTTCAAAGTTTTTCTGGTCCCTTTGACGATGTCAATGTTCATTTCACCTACATATGTTTTGTTTTGTTTTAGTTCTGCCTCTCTTTTAGTAGACATCGCAATAGTTTGGAGTGTGGTATCCTTACCTGTTCTCGAACCTCTCACTCCAGCTAAACTAGACAAACTATGCACTCTCACTATGGCGTGTTTGCACGCTGCACTGGCCACAGCTACAGCAACGTCCATTCTTGGTTTATCCTCTGCTGTGTCGCCAAAAACAACGTCCACAGCCTCAAGTGGGCTCCAGCCATCATTACCAGCCAATACTGTACCTTCAATTGTTGCAGGTAATTTGATGCTCTGTTTTCTTACCCTTCAACAGCATTACGTTCTTCTGGAAAATATAATCTACATTTCAAAACGAAAGCCCAATCTTATGGATGCTGTCAATTGGTAAGAAGCGGGAATTTATCTGGAACAATATATCTTCAACTGATTTTCTGGTATGGACAGGTTTTTTTTTAAAGTGTGCATTCCCAAACTTTATTGTTTGTCCATGAATGATTTCTTTTTTTCTCCTCTTTAACAGATTTTGAAATAATTAGTGTAAAGTGGGCTTCTTGTTTGATTTTTTTTGTGATGTAAACTGTTTTACTCTTATTTTACACAAGTATCAAATGCCTTATTCTTTACTTTTTCAGGAGCAGCCAGTGCTAAACATGATGATGAATCCAACATCGAGTCCGTGGCTACGTCAATTGTAGAAAAATCACTTGAAATATTTACTTTTGTCTCTGATGCAATCAAATCCTCGTCTCGTGCAGGAGGTCATGTGAGTAAATTCAAATCTAAAATCTCCACAGAACTTGCGGGTTTTGTTATTATCATTAATAATAATGCGAGTTGATTGACCTAACTCAAAGACGAAATTACTCACGTATTGTTTATCCTTTGCCGAGATGGATCTGGCCACCTTGATAGGGAGAAAATTTTTAGCTTCAAAGTTCTTTGCAAGCAACAAAACTGGGAAAGCGCAAAGGATTTTCTTAATTNATTTTGTTTTTAACTCGGTATACCTTGTACCGAAACTTTTGGTATGCTAAGGAAAGTTTACCAAGATCATTGTATGAGATGTTCCCACTGTTTTGAGTGGGTTAAACGATTCAAAACTGGTCAGGAGTTTGTCGAAGATGAGGAGCATGGGAATCGACCTTCAACGGCAACTGAAATTTGTCACATTGAAGAAGTGCGGGCAAAAGTGCTCGAAAATGGTCGTTTTGAGCTTGTTGAACAGAGTAATATTTCTGAAGGCTCTGTACATACAATTTTGATAGAATATGTAGACACGCATCGAGTTTCAGGTACACTTGCCCCTTGATTGTTGTCCGTTGAACGAAAATCCAACCAAATGTCAATTTCCCTTTAGCTGCTTGAACGTTCTAACAATGATCCTACATTTTTGGATAGGATAATTTTCGGTGACAATACTTTAGTGTACGGCTACGATATGGAGATGAAACTCCAATCGTCCTTGTGGGTTGAAAAATGTAGTGCGAGATCAAAAAAAGAGAGACAAGTTCGGTCAAACATAAGAATCGCAAAACACCCTTAAGGTTGCCTCACTTCAAGCCACATACCAACAAAGCTAATCAGGATTTTTCAAATTTGTGAACGTAGCATTCTTAAATATATTTTCAGCTATCAGAAAAGCTCAAGAAAACATAATTTGGACGCATTGTGGGCTAGTTATGACCAAAATCCGGTTTCTAATCTAACAGACCTCGTATCTTCAACTGATTTTCTGGTATGGACAGGTTTTTTTTTAAAGTGTGCATTCCCAAACTTTATTGTTTCTCCATGAATGATTTTTTTTTTTCTCCTCTTTAACAGATTTTGAAATAATTAGTGTGAAGTGGGCTTCTTGTTTGATTTTTTTTGTGATGTAAACTGTTTTACTCTTATTTTACACAAGTATCAAATGCCTTATTCTTTACTTTTTCAGGAGCAGCCAGTGCTAAACATGATGATGAATCCAACATCGAGTCCGTGGCGACGTCAATTGTAGAAAAATCACTTGAAATATTTACTTTTGTCTCTGATGCAATCAAATCCTCGTCTCGCGCAGGAGGTCATGTGAGTAAATTCAAATCTAAAATCTCCACAGAACTTGCGGGTTTTGTTATTATCATTAATAATAATGCGAGTTGATTGACCTAACTCAAAGACGAAATTACTCTCGTATTGTTTACCCTTTGCCGAGATGGATCTGGCCACCTTAATAGGGAGAAAATTTTTAGCTTCAAAGTTCTTTGCAAGCAACAAAACTGGGAAAGGATTTCCTTAATTCATTAGGAGAATTCATAAAAATAGAAAATTTGAGGAAAAAGTTGTAAACTTAGGAAACTTTTGCTTTTCCAATATTAACAGAAATTTAAAGTTTTAGTCACCTGAATAGTTTTACTCCTGAAAAATGTAGTTTTTAATAATGATAATAATAAAATAATAATATATTTATTAATGCAACAGCCTCATGAAATTCATACAAATTTATGAGCTTAACACTCGTCAAATAATATGATGGAACAAAATTTAACATCAAATAAATGTAACAAAAATTTTAACAAACAAATAAAAAACAGTAAATGAAGAACTAAGACTTAAGACTTAAGGGACTACATTCAGGCAATTTAGGGATTGGGGAGATTTGCGTCGAGATATTCTTTTAACTCGTAAAAAGGGTTTTCTATGAAGTAATTTTTTATGTTATTTAGGAATAGATTTGAATTTTCTGATTTAATGAAAAGTTCTTTTAATGGCTTGGGAAGCTTGTTAAAATATCTGATACCTCTGCTTTCTAAGCTATCCCAGTCTACTTTTTCCCCCCGCTTTTTTTCAATTTTTGCTAGGATATTTCTGGTTTGTATTTGATTATTAGTAATTAATTTTTCTTTGATGATGTAGAAGTGTTTTTATTAGTTCTGATTGTATTAACACTGCATATTGAAAGATGTGAACCCAGTATCATTCTTACATTCTGTTAAAAATAGCCCTCGGGGCACAATTTTAATTTTTTTTTTTCTCCTATGCAACTTCAGGCCTTTATTTAAATGTATTAAACTGCTCCTGTATGACAGCTCCCAGTCAATAATATGTATGAATGACTTAAGGAAACGTGATGATTATTTTCAGATTCATCAAAATCATTTACTGATTGGTGCATGGCTCCTGACGGCAGGACTCCATGCCCAGCTTTCTGCTACCAGTTTGAATCCTCAGGAAAAAAGTTCCAAAGAAGAGAAAGGCAAGTCTCCAAGCAAAGCTCGAGAATCCTCAGGGCGCATCAATTTAATGAAAGTGTAAGTTATGTTTAATAAATTCTCTCTTGTTTTAATCTATCTACCTCAAGTTGTATTTTTCGACTCTTTTACCAATATGCAATAGGCAATATGTACATATGGCAATATATGTGGCAATGTGACCAACCACAGAAAAAATTTTTATCTGCCTAGTTCCAGCTACAACAGTGCCAGATAATAATACAACTTACGACCTTTGATGGTATAAAAATAAACTGAAGTGCTAGCACCTGATTCTTAAGGATATCTGAGAGACCTTTTTGCTTGAATCTCAAGATCTGGTTTTTTTTATCGAACTTGACAAATAAAGCTCCCCTGAAAATTTTGCCTTTTTAGACGAAAGTCTATTTTTGTCTTGACAGTTCTAATTAAGAGTTAAATACAGAAAATACTCAAGACATGTCTGAAAGCAAGAAATGAATTGTAGTTTGATTCTCTAATTTATTGCATTTAGAGCAGTCCTTTTCTATCACATGGAAAGTAAAAATCGAGAAAAGCGTTGTCATCTTTTTTGATGACACCCTAAGTAGCTGGTGAAATTGCGTACCTCGGAATTATTGACCCTGATAGAGTTGGTGACCCATCAGTAGTACTACCTTGTTTGCAATGAGTACCAGAATCAGGTTGCAGGCTTCCAACCAATTATTAAATGACTCTAAAATGAAAGATTCAAAAACGTGAACATTGACATCCATTAAGATCAGAAGAGTCTTTCAGGAAATGAAATTTATACTTGGTAAAATGTTCTGAAAAAGTGTGTTTCTGGAAAAAGTAATGACTGAAATTTTTCTGCTCAAGTTTTTGCAAAGTATAATGTTTTACGTAAGAACAAAATCACTTTATTTTGCTTTTTGATTCTATGAAATTTAATTACATCAATGATGTAAGAACAAAGTTATTCTTCAGAAAAGAAAACGAATTGCAAAACTTCGAAAATATCAACCAACAAATCTTGCAGGATTTTGGGGGATGTCACTTCACTCATATCAGAAAAATAATGTAGCTTGAGGGTCTATCATTAAAATTTTACATTTGTTGTGGGTTGTTAGTAAGACGAAGCTGCTATGTGATTGGTTTGATGCATCTATTAGCCTGCCATCAGGCTTAATAATTCAATAGTAGTCAGTCATTGAGGGAGAGTCCCTTTAGGGTGTTGATTATTCAGTCTGATAGAGGCATTAAAATGGAATGGATGAATGCAACTAAAAAATCTTACATCTGTTCCATTCGAGTCCTATCTGGTCTGACAGATGAAAATAATGTCTCAACAACCGATCTGCTGGATTACTTGAAAGCACATCACAGTTTCAGAAACTTGGAGCTTATTAAAAGCAATTTCTACTCAAAGTTTTTCTCATGAATAACCTTTTTCTGTCAACAGTCAACAAGGTTTCGGTGTTTTGTCAGTTGCCCTCGCAACTCGTGCTTTACATCTGATAGGCAATCTACTGCATGACGCCCGATGTGAAACAGACTTCGAAGTTGTTCCAGCAGAACTCAGCATCACTGCACAATGCACAGCATTGCAGCGAGCAGCACGGCTCATGTCTGCTGTCCCTCTCAATGAATTTCTGTACTACCTCGCAACTGTGTCTTACAGAAAGGTAAGAGCTTTTTTGTCTATCAAAGGATGAGGATTGCCACCATGCTGAGGAAAAACACTTCATGAGCCTTTAGACACTGCCAAACTTTCCTTGATACATCACAAATTTTCTGGGAAACTTATGAATAGTTTGCTTCCAATTTTGCTTAAAATTTTATCTGCAATTCAATCTATATTACTCGAAAATTTCAAGGAAAAATACTCGTATTTGTTAAAAATAAATCTTTTATCAGATGATGACATCTGGTAACGTTTGAATGTTCTTATAGCGCTTTTTCTTTTCACAGCTGTTTGGTTGGGTGACAAGTCTTCGAATAGTCAGAGAAAACCTGGAAAAGTTTATAAAAGACCCCACGTCCAAAACATAGAGATTTAAATTTCTCCACTTTTTTTTATGAAAAACGGAGCATTAAAAATATAAATTATCAATAAAATAAAATGAAAGCAAAATGAGGAAAAATTACTTAATTAAAAAGCCTTGTGCGCCAACCCTTTGAGAAGAAATGGACTGACAGCAAGTGGGTCATCAATTTTTTTTCCCTGCATTCAGATAAAATTTGCCATGGGACATCTCATGCTGAAACTGCATATTGCCAGTACCTTCAGCATCGTGCATATATAACTTGTGCCTAAAAACTCCTCGGTAACAAACCTTGGTAGTGTTATCCCTCAATTATTTACTTCTTACTTGTGACTTTGAAATTTTTTGTTTAACAGGCATGCACTTTAAAACGCATACAAAAACATGCCCCAGCAGGTGACACTTTCAGCACCTCTGAGTCGACCACATATTATGAGGATGACATTATGAGCTGCTCAGATGAAAGTTCTCCTGAAGGTGAGTAATTCAGCCTTTAAATTTCTATGTCATCATCCTCTAAATTTTTTTATGCTACTAGAAAATTTGTCTTTTCTAGTAGCGTATCGGAATTAACTACTTCTTAAATTGCATTACAAATATAGACTCAATTTTGCAGTGAGGAACTACATTTTCTAGCTGAGTTTTGAAACAACGTATGTACCATTAGTTTCCCTACGCACATAAGTGTTTTTGTGGATGAGCTATAATTTGTAGTTCCTAATTGCAAAATGTAGTCCAAATAGTGTTTATTTGGTTATTAGACAGGGTTAAAAATCAAGCATGGGATTATGAAATTCAAATTACCGGAGGTCAATACCCTGTTGACCCTTGTGGTCTTCAACTTTGTAACCCACTTGAAATAACAGAGTACAAAGCTTGATATTGGTGGTCTGGGACACCCTGTACAAGTTTTAATGCTTTTCAAAATCAAAATTGCCAGATTACAGCCGTTTTAACAGTGATTTAATTAATCTCTTGGTTTTTTACAGATGATGATAGTGAACCAATCCTAGGCCTTTGGTTTGAAAAAACTATTTCAGTTCCTGATGGAGGAACCTCGCCTAGTAGCAGTGCAGAAGCCTCTAACAATATGCAGGACTCGAGTGGTAAAACGAATCAAAATTCTGATCAAGCCTCCAGCTCCATTGTACCCGAGAAAGGAGAACCCAATGGAGTAAGATTATTGTTGTTTTCTAATTCTTTTGTCCCATCACGATGTTGACCTTTAATTTCTTTGCACTTTAAATATGTCAAAGTACACTAGGAGAAGACAAAACTTCCTCTCACAAGGAACAAGGGAAAAATCATGAAAGCATGAGTTGCGAAGTTTACGGAAATTGACTTGGATGAGGAACATGATTACATCTGCAGAATTGCTGAGAGCTGTTCTGCCGTGCAACGCAAAAACGCTGTAAACGCCATTTTACATTTCTTGGAAACAATGTATCATAGCAGAAAAACTTGTGCACCTTGAGACAATCTTTTCACCAAATTATTTTGCAAATACTATCAAGAACTTAACCTGAAAATTTGAGGTGCATGGGTAAAACAGTTTTAATTTTATAAAATGTTAAGTTCCAAAAAACGAAGAAAAATCTTGATGGATATACGGTGTTCTTACTTAGCACGGTAGTGTTGTTTGCTGCTTTTATGTTAATGGGGCACATGAGTAAATGAGATAATTCAAATATTGATTAATGAATCAAGGTGAATCAATAAAAATGACTGATTTTTTTTGCAGAAACGCATATCTGGGTTTTCAGCATTGCAAACTACCTGTCACTTTTTATTTTCTATTTTGAAAACTAATGAAATCCTCTTGAAAATTTTGGTGTTTTTTCTTCTTCGTGTGAAGAATATTCTGTGAAAATTTCGAGCTATGACTTTGATTTCTTTTTCTTTTAAAATATAAAGTAGGGACAGAAATTTCGAAACACTGCAACCGAGATATGCATTTTTGCAGTTTCTCCGTTAATATCATACTTCCAATTACTTTCAGGATGTAATAAATATGCCTCATACTTGCAACTTTAAATTTCTGAAAACCGCAAAAACTTAGCACTCATTCTCTGAAGACTTTTACCATCCCTAGTTACTAACTTGCTACTCCACGATTCATAGCTCAACTGATGCTCAAAGTAATTTGTAGGTTTGCACCAGAAGGAGTATCCTAATTTTTTTCTATTTTACTGCTTTCAGTACATAGTTTTAGCTGCTCAAGTGTTTCAACTATTAAATAGGATTTTCATCAGCAGTGAGTGTCCTTATGTAGTACGATATATCCAAGCAGGGTTAAATGAACAACAAATGCTGATACTTGCTGCCATCATTCGTGATTTAGACCGTGAGACTGCCAGAACAGAGACTGGTAAGTCAAAATTTTTCCATCTCTGCATTTTTGCTTACAAAACTGATGATGAAATTGTCAATGCGATGAAAAATTTCAGAAAGTTCAATTGCTTTTATAGCTAAATTTCATAGCAACAGGAAATGTTTTGTAAAGATGAGGAAGGAATGGTCAGGAAACTAAAGTTCCATCCGTTTCTCCTAAATTTTTTAAATTTATATCTTTGTTCTTTTCCTTGATCTCAAAAGAGTCATCGGTCGTCACAACTGATTTTTCTGAAATCTGAATTTAAAGTTTTATCTTCCATTGCTGAATTCATAGAAAAGTCTTAAATACCTTTCAACCTTTGATACTGCAAACTTTTTTGAAACACCCATATTTGAGCAAGTTTCGCCTGAAAGGTCCAAGAGCAATACTGCAGTATCATAAGTGGCTGTCTTCTGAAGTTTATTAATAAGTTTGTATCTATTTTAAGGAATTCTAATTCTAAAATTTTACTCACGCACTATTTAATCGCAGACTGATTACAAGTTTTCCCCATATTCAACCCTCTATTCAGCTTATTTTAAAAAAAAGAAACATATTAAAGCTGACCATATATTTCAGCAGAGGAAGGATTTGTTTTCGGTAGAATTGCAAGTTATTTTTTTAGTTATTACTCTATGTAACATCCCGCATGCATGATAAACTAGAAACCCTCCGCATACCAATTTCAAGAAGTTTGAGGTCAAAAAGTGAATTTTTAATTTTTTGCTCTGTATGAGGTTACCAGTAGAAATTTGCAGTACTGCCCTAGTGGCATGCAGAATGAATATTTATGTTGAAGAGTACAAAATGTGATGTCTTTGAAGTTGATGACTAGGCCCTCTCCTCAACTTCATCTGAATATCCTGCAGTTGTACTTTAAAACTTTGAACTTCAATTTATTTTACAATTGTGTAATTTTTTTTTTTTTAAATAGGAACCATTTCTGTCTATTTTGGTGCCACCCTTGGATCACTTTACAATGATTTCTCCTGTGCCCTAACGTACTATACGCACAATCTGCTTGCGAGGAACATTTTAAATGAATCACTTCAAGGAACGCTATTGCACCACTTGGGTGTAAGTCCTGTTCCAGTCCCACCTGACAATACTGCCTGGCCTCTTCAAGTTTATCCTCGAACCTTAGCTGTTCTTGCTCAAGTCCTCCTTCTAAAACCGCAAGCAGAGAAAGAAGCTGCATACATAAATATCTGGCATCGCCTCATCAACACTTTGGTGGACAACATTTGTAATCCCCCACAAGTAATTGATTCAGAAAATGAAGACATCAACATTGAGCATGCCCAGCTACTCCTATTCCTGTTTCACTCGTTGAATCTAATGCAAAAAAAATCGCTCCTACTTGTAACGGCCAGCGGAATAATAAAGGTCGCAGACAGTAGCATTCGCAGTCCGATGAAAGAAAGTCAGCTTTTACATTTATCTCGTCTCCTTCTCTTTTTGGATTATCTAGTCAAGCACCTCTACGATGCACCAGCATCACTTTTAGAGCAAGTGCAGCAACACCTGCTGAGCACTGCCACCACTGGTGCTGAAAATGCAACCAGCGACTCATCCCAATCGGCGACAAGCAATATCTGTGGACCGTGGGCCAAAATCGAAGAGAACTATCGCAAGTATGGTTCGCCGAGTGAATTTTCAATGAAACCGCGCTTTTATAGTTTGACGAGCATTGAAATCAGTAATCAGGAGCAACCAAAACTTGATGGGTTGGCTTGCAACTTCATTCTAGGCTCTGCTGATAAGGTCAAGTACCCATTGCTGATCGATGCGCTTATTGAAATTCTAGGTGTACTGGACCAGTGCACCCCATGTATTAGACTGAATGAAAAAATGAGCTTCATGTCACTTTGTGCAATTCAGTATTGTTTCTCAATTTGCTGGCGCTTGCTATTACATTTACCACCTTCAACACCTTATCTAGAGAAATTAAGCCAAGATGATGCGCCCGAAGCCTCGCTTAAACTGCTTCATGCACTTGTCTGGGGCCCACGTGCAGCGCATAAAACTTTCATTGGATGGATGAAAGACTCCCTGGTCAAACAGGGCATGTACACTGCTTACGCAGAAAATGTTCTGAAGACAGTTGCAGAGAAAGTTGACAACCTAAAACATGATGTTAAACTCGCGAAGGCATGCATATCTTCTCTAATGCCACAAATTGAGACTAACAAGTGGATTGTCCCGAGGCAAAACTTACCAAAGTTGTCTGAAATTTATTTGTTTGAAGCTGTCATTAGTCGTTTGATAGTATTAATGGATGAAAACTCTCTAAAATCTTCCAGTAGCGAAAATATTGATGTGAATAAACCGATGCAAATCGTTGAAGTGTCCGGGTCTCAAGTCACAGAAGCTGCAACAGAGCTGATGCCTTATGTCTTGAGACTACTTGAAGTGATCGTAGCATGTTGCCACTCAAGTCTTTTGTATGAAATGGTAGAAATGCAAGAAAATAGCGAGGGTGGCTCTACTTTCTCTCAAAGTGACAAGATTGCCATTCGACATGCTCTAGCCATTGGCTCGTCTCGCAATGCGAAGATATCAACTTTTGCCGGTGCTTTGACTCCACTCTTACCCCTGTCCGTCCGCACTGTGTTGGACAAATGGAACGCGGTGAATTGCTTCGAGGTGTGGTGGAATTACTTTGTGTCAGACATCATACCAGCTGAAAGTTATGTTTTGGCTGTGACAAACTTCAATGTTTCAAACTTGTCTCGGTCACAGGGTCTAACTTTGCTGCCATCGTTCCGACACCTCCTGTTCTCTCTTGTCTCTTTTATCTCAACACATATCACAGAACTTGAAGATGGAGAGCTGAAACGGGAGGCTAGACGAGTTTTGACTCCTCTTACGCTTGATGCTTGCACCGAATATTTGTTCGACAAAGTTACTCGTCCCTTGGAAAAAATCTCAACGGAAGCAGAAATCGAGTTTGAAACCAACTACAAAGCACTCGAGCACATTTACACGTTAGCAACCTGCTACACTAACACTACAGCACCATGCTCTGGCATGATTCATGAAAAGGTTGTCTCGTATTCTCTTCAGTGGATTGAATCTCTAATTGAAAAACCAACTGGTCGTGCAGCCCTTGATAAATTCTTTGATGGCTCTCCTGAAAGAGATCTCCTCACATTATTGTTGAGTGTAGCCACCCCTAAAGCACAGGAATCTATGATGTATTGTGTCCGAGTGCTCCAAATTTTTAATCGATTGTTCTCTACCGCTGAAAAGCAGCCAAATGAACCTGTTCTAGAGAAATTATGTTCCTCCGTCCTACGGCTTGCTTCAATCACTCCAGACACCCTAGAAAACTGGCTGCGTCATGTAATTGTTGGTAATATAAAAGAAAAGCCTGCCTCGGGCCCCGTGACAACCCCTGTGCCAGACCCTATCCCTATGCCAGTTATTGCATCGGCTTCATCTGAGTCAGGACAAGTTGCTTCTAGCTCAAAAACTCCAATTGAGTCAGCAAATGAGGAAGAAAAACTTGCCTCTCAACGAAAAGTGTTGATTCAAGAAAATCAACAAATTTTACAGTACATCACAGCCTACATAGTGAAAGGTGGTGGAAACACTGATCCTAATTTCAAAGAAGAAGTTGCCTTAACATTGCTCGAAGCCCTCATACCCATGGGGTCCCGACTGATACCTAATGATAATGGATTCCCTGCTCTAATGACGGTGATGGCAACTTTAGCAGATGCTGGATCAGGCCGTGGGCATGTCAAACTTTTCACTGCTGCAACAGGTTGGTTAGAACAATGCAAAGAACTGCTATGCCAAAGTGAAAATCTAAACAAGTTGTCGGAAAGTTTCTCCTGTGGGAGTGTGTTGGAATCACTCTGTTACATTTTGAATTATGCTAGTGATATCATTCAAGCCTTGTGCGGATCACAATCAGCAGGAAGAGCAACATCACCACCTTGGGATGGTGACCCCCTGCCCCTGCAATTAGACCATGACCAAGACTGGATCGATGATTTTGCAAACAATGAAGAAGACGATGAAAGTGAAGGCGATGAATCAGATGAAGACAGCCTTTGCAACAAGCTTTGCACTTTTACCATAACGCAAAAAGACTTCATGAATCAACACTGGTATCACTGTCATACTTGTAAAATGGTTGAAGGTGTCGGTGTTTGCACTGTGTGTGCCAGAGTATGCCACAGAGGTCACGATGTGACTTACGCCAAGTATGGGAACTTCTTTTGTGACTGTGGTGCGAGAGGCGTGGAGAACTGCCAGGCGCTTGTCAAACGTCATCCAGCAGTTAGTGCTGAAACTTCAGGACAGCCAACTGCTAGCAATGCTGCTGCCAGCAGTTCTGCCAACTACGGCACTGAGCAGATGTTGACAAGCTCTTTAAGGAGACGTCCTTCTTCACCATCCAACCTTGAGAAATTCAATGAACATCGAAGTTTGCCGCAAGACAAAACCCAAAGGAGTAATTTGGCCAAACAGTTGGAAAACTTTAAAGAACAGCTTGTATCAATGATGTGGGCTCAACCAGTAATAGTAACGCCACTTTTAGAGCTGATAAAGAATTTGATTCCAATTGTTGAAGCAGCTTGCGAGCGCCATTCTCCCGTAGGTTGTCACCGCAGAGCTCAAAATGCCCTCAAAGAATTACATTCTGCCGATAAGAAGTTTGAGTACACTGATCAGCTAATGGTCCCAACTTTAGGCTCTCAAGAGGGAGCGTTTGAAAATGTCAGGATGAATTATGCTGGAGAACAAGGTCAAATCATTCGACAACTGATCACTGCTCATATGATACGCCGTGTAGCTATGTGTTGTTTGTCATCACCACATGGCAAGAGACAGCATCTAGTTGCTGTTTCACATGAAAAAGGGAAGATCACTGTTCTTCAACTGAATGCGCTCTTGAAGCAAGCAGATTCCTCAAAACGCAAACTGACTCTTACTCGCCTTGCCTCAGCACCAATACCTTTCACAATTTTGTCCGTAACTGGTAATCAGTGGAACGAAGACTTCCTTGCTGTCTGTGGTCTAAAAGACTGTCATGTATTGACTTTTAATCCAAGTGGCTCCGTTGGCTCCCACATAGTTTTGCATCCTCAACTTGAGACTGGCAATTTCATCATCCGTGCCATCTGGCTCCCTGGCTCACAGACAAATTTAGCCCTTGTAACAGCTGATTTTGTCAAAATTTATGATCTCGGAAAAGATGTTTTTAGTCCACAGTACAACTTCCTTGTACCAATGGGTAAAATTCGAGACGTCACGTTTTATTGCTCTGAAGAGCAAAAATCTGTGATGCTTTTAATGTCTTCTGCTGGTTATATCTATACACAAGATATGAATGAAGAGAGTTCAGCTAAACATGGCCCATTCTATGTTACCAACACGTTAGAAATCTATCACCCCGATATCAAAGATGTTAATGGTCAAGTTTGCGGTGGAGGAGTCTCAGTGTACTACTCCCACTCGCTCAAACTGTTGTTCTTCAGTTACACTCAAGGCAAAAGTTTTATTGCCCCTGTCCTAAATTTAGACAACGGCCTGTCACCTGTTTTCCTGATAAACATGGCTCCATCCTCTAAATCGTCTAATTCCTCTAATAAGTCAAGCAATGCGAATGCATCCCCTCAGCCACTATGTCAGTGGATGGAAGTACCGAATCATCCGGGCTTAGTTTGCAGTGTGATGCAGATAAGCAACAATCCTGTCGTAATGATGATCAAACCCAACTCAATTCTCATTCAAGAAATCAAAGTGGTTCCGGCCAAAGCAAAAATCATGGATGTTGTAGCCATCAGGCACTCATCATCGAACTCGGACCATAAAACAACTTTAATTTTGCTCTGTGAAGATGGCAGTCTTCGTATTTATATGGCCTCAATGGAACAAACTGGATTCTGGCTTTCTCCAAATATTCTTGCATCTAATCCATCCGTGTCTGTCAAACACTCAAGAAAGAAAAAGGCGCCAAAACCAGGCAAACCATCTAGTGGTGCCATCACATTCCCGGTTGATTTCTTTGAGCACAGTTCTGTGATGAATGATGTAGAATTTGGTGGCAATGACCTGCTTCAAGTTTACAGCCCCAATCAAATCAAACACAGACTTAACACAACAGGTATGTATGTTGTTTCGTCTAAACTTGCAGGATTCAATGTGGAAGTGACGAACAACGATGCTAATTATGTCATGACAGGTGCTCGAATATTTTTAGGTAATCAGGACACTCATCGTGTTCCATCCTATATCGCTATTTTTGGACGCTGCATCCAAACTAATGTCACCCGGGCTCGCTGGTTTGACTTTCCATTCACTCGAGAAGAAAGCTTGAGAGCAGACAAAAAAATAACCATCTCCTTTGGTCAGTCGCAAGATCCGGACGGTATTACAATGGTGGATTCCATCAAGATCCATGGCAAAACTAAAGATACATTTGGTTGGCCGGAGGAATCCGACGACGTTCCAGCCGGAGCTGGAGCCTCAACTCAACAGACATCAGGGTCTACCCAAGACTCAGAAGGACAGTCCATGAATGCCTCGCAAATCTCCATGCTTGAAAAAATGGTCTCTAGCTGTCTAGAAGTTCTGGATAATAGTATTTCTCTCATGAACTTCAATATTGTCGGAGTTCCAGATTTGACTAAGTCTGCTAATCAACGTTTTGAAGCCATTAAACTAGCCACAAAGCTTCTCACTCTCCCAACTCCCGTCTGTATTCAGCTTCACACGAAGTCCCTTCTATCTGCTTTGCACTCATCGAGGCAAGGTTATCACAACTACAAAGATCAAGCCCTGTTGACTCATGTGTTAAACTCCCTTACAGTCTTCAGGAACATTCCAGAGGCAGCAGACCTAGATGCTGAATCATTTTACAGACTTGTTCTAACAGCCCGCAGTATTGCCGTAACTCGTCCACAGAACTTATCCAAGTTCGTTCCTCATGAGCTGCCGTCCGATCTCCCACAAATAACTGCAGAGAATACTGATAAACCTCGGCTAGATCACCCAAGCGCAGCTCGTCAACTAGTCACGCTGATTCTCGACGTATTTTGGCGTTTGCACAAAGCAAGGCCCATAAACCCAGCTTTAGCCTCAGTATGCTTACCTGGTCTCACGCATGTTGAAACAACTGTCTATGCCATAGTTGAAATCATCCATGCTTTCACCCTCAATGACCACAGCGATGCAACAATATCAATGGCAACAAAATACTACATGGACTTGCTGCTTTGCGAGGATACTACTATCAGTTTTAGTGCCAAGCAAGCAATAATTCGTGTCTTGAGACCAAGAATCAGGCGTCGAAGGGTTTACATTCCGTCTCCGCCTCACTGCTCAACACCAGACATGGAGAAACCCACTCCAATATCACAGCCGTCACACTCACAAGACTCTCCTGAAGCCGAGGCTGTTCAGTATGAGGTTGATACTGTTGAGCCCATGGTCCTCGTGGCAGCTGATGCCGCGGCTGGTGCCAGTGGTGGAGCAGATAATGTAGAAGCACTGCTCAGAGGTGCTGGCTATTCACCTTATATGATGCCACCAGATTCGGATGATGAAACGATGGTAGAACTCGCAATTGCTCTGAGCCTTCATGATCATGAAAACGGAGGCGATCTACAAAATATCCAACAAAATTTGCAAGGGCTACAAGGACTACAAGGCTTAGCTAATTTCCAAGGGCTGCAAAACATCGGAGGTCCCACTTTACAGAGTTTGCAGGTTTTAGCATCGCAAGGCCTTGTTCAAGTTCCTGTTGTCAACCAGCCACAGAATCAGGAGGTTGGGCATTACAGTGATACAACTGCCTCTGGAGCAGGATCTGATGATGAAGGTAGCACAGCTGCAACGGATGGCAGCACTCTGCGAACATCTCCAGCAGAACAGGGAGGAAGTGAGAGTGGTGGTAGCGGCGCAGATAGTATCACAGGAGAGCACAATGTCTCTGGTCGCAGTTCAGCCTACGGGGATAACATTCCAGAACCTATTGCGTCCGGAAGGAGTGAGACTAGCTCGCTGGGTGCGTCTGCTGGTTTCCAAGTTCAAGACTCTGTCAGCGTTGAAACAGACATTGATGCCGAAGGCGGGAACAAGCTACATGGCTTGCGCTTACTTGTTCTTGAGAAGCTGATTTCCTATGTTCCAAGTTTAAAAGAAGTCGGTGGTGTGCGGTCAATCCCTTGTCTCCAAGTTGTTTTAATGTTGGCGTCAGATCTGGAAGTCGAAGAAGACAAAGACCGGCACTGCTTAAACACGTTACTAAATGCTATTGTCAGTGAACTGCAAATGAAACAACCCAATGTCGACGAATTGGTAGAACGCAACAAGAAACATGAAGTTCACCTTGTTTTAATGAGACTTGTCAGTGTTTTAATGTCCCGGTCAAAATCATCCACAAAAACAGGTACTGAGAATTCAAGTCAGATTCCAAGTATTACTGCAAACGCTCTACTTCAAGCTGGAGTAATCGACTATTGTCTCGCGCTGATTAAAAAGTTGTTGAATTACAGTAAAGTCAATACTGCCGAAGATGCTGCAAATCAGTCTGGGGAAGTCCTCTTGAAACCGCATTCAGTTGTTTCACCTCCAGACATGTCACCATTTTTCCCCCAGCAGTACTTGAAAAATCACTCTAATGATGTCTTTGACGCATACCCACATCTGTTGACAGAAATGTCATTGCGACTGCCGTACCAAGTCCAAAAGCACACTAGCACAAACATCATGTTTGAACAAGCATGGTATTATGACTTGTGTGAATACATGATGAACCAACAATTACCGGTTGTCCGACGGCAAGTTAGAAAACTTTTATTATTTATTTGTGGTAACAAAGACAAGTATAAGCAGCTGCGAGATCTGCATTCCTTAGAGTCCCATATTTCGACAATATTCAAGGCTGTGCGAACTTCAACAGATGTATCCTTGAGTGGAGAAATGTCGAAAGTGCATGCTGTGTCTTTATCTTATGATGCATTGGTGGAACTTGTCGAGCATTTAAAAACATGCGTGGAAGTTGCAACAAACCGCACAGTCAACTGGCAGAAGTTCTGCTTGAAAGAAGAGACCGTCTTGCCATACCTAATGGAAATCAGCTGTTTATTGGAAGAAGGTGTCTCACAGCCCATCCTCCAACTCCTCCAGTGCGCCATCTGCACCAAGCAGCCACAATCGCAGCAACAGTCAACGTCTACTGACCAGCCAGCACCCAGTTCTTCAACAAACCAAGAAGGGAAATCATCTAAAACAGCACCCTCATCTTCTCAGCCTGCCGAACGATCTGCTGATAAAGATGAGAAACAGGAATTAGAAGAGATGCAGGCAGTTGAATTGACCGAGCAATTGAATAAAATGATTCCAAGAGATCTATTGGCTCATTTCATCCGCACGTTCCTACTGGATACTAATTCCTCCAGTATGCGCTGGCAAGCTCATGCTTTAATACTGGCCATGTATCAAAATTCAGCAGTCTCTGAACAAAAATCATTGCTGGATCTGCTTTGGACTTTGTGGCCACAGTTACCTGCTTATGGTCGGAAAACTGCTCAGTTTGTTGACCTTCTTGGCTACTTCAGCATCAAGTCATCAATAGCAGAAACAAAAATGAATGATTACATGGAACAGGCCGTTCAGGTGCTACAGTCACAAAATCAAGCACTTGCACACCATCCAAACGCAAGCTTGTACTCCCAGTTAGCGCAGTTTGTTGAACTAGATGGTTTCTACTTGGAGAGTGAGCCATGTTTAGTTTGCAATAACCCAGAAGTTCCGTTCAGCAGCATTAAACTCTCCTCCATCAAAGTAGACTCCAAATTTACCACCACAACACAAATTGTGAAACTTGTTGGAAGTCATACTATCAGCAAAATCGTTTTGCGCATTGGGGATATCAAAAGAACCAAAATGGTACAAACTATCAACATCTACTACAATAACCGCAGTGTCCAAGCGGTCATTGAACTTAAAAACAAACCTGCCATGTGGCATAAAGCAAAGAAAGTCAGCCTCACCTCAGGTCAAACGGAAGTCATCATTGAGTTCCCTCTTCCAATTGTTGCGTGCAATTTGATGATAGAGTACGCAGATTTCTATGAAAATCTCCATGCTTCCTCTGAAACTCTTCAATGTCCCAGATGTAGTGCTTCTGTTCCTGCTAACCCTGGCGTTTGTAACAACTGCGGCGAAAATGTCTTCCAGTGTCACAAATGCAGAGCCATTAACTATGATGAGAAGGATCCCTTCTTATGCCATGCTTGTGGGTTCTGCAAGTACGCAAAATTCGACTATCTACTAACCGCCCGCCCATGCTGTGCTGTTGATGCAATTGAAAATGATGAAGATCGAAAGAAAACGGTTTCTGCCATCAATTCACACCTGGAAAAAGCTGATCGAGTTTACAAACAACTTGTAGGGAACAAACCGAACCTAGAAATGCTTCTCCTCAAAATCAGCGAGCACCGATTGGAGAAAGGCAAAGATGATTCAAGTTCTGCAGGGACTGCAACTTCCTCATCATCTGCAAGCAATTCAACCAGCACTAGTAGTGTTAATAACCAAGTAAACCGTGCAATACAGCTCCTAGCTCATCGCTACTGTGGTGATTGCAAAAATCATTTCGAAGAACTCAGTAGGATCATCCAGAAAGTGTTGGCTTGCCGTCGAGAGTTAGTTGCGTACGACCGCAAACAGTTAGGAACAGCTGCCACTCCCAGTGGTGGATCCCAGCCAAGCAAACCAGTGAGCACAGTTGGCATACCCTCCAGTATGCACAAATTTACCTCACCTCCAACTAATGTTGCACATGCGGGCCGATGCTACGGCTGCGCCTCAGCGGCAACTGAGCACTGTCTTACTCTTCTGAGAGCCCTGTCCACTAATGCAGTATCCAGATCATATCTGTGTCAACAGGGACTGGTTCAAGAATTACTGGAAAATAACTTGAGACGCGGGACAACACAGATTCAAGAAGAGGTGCGCCAACTGTTGCGTCTCCTCATCCGTGACAACCCTGCTGCAACTGAGGGTTTGTGCTCTTTGATAATGGACCGAATTTCTTTGTCATTGCGTGGTCATGTCACTCACTCTGAATTAGCTTTTGCTGTTCGACCAGAAATTTCTCTTCTTGGATGTCTCGTTCAGAAAGAAGATTCATGTTGGGAGCAAAAATTGAAGTGTGTAATGCAGCTTTTCCTCATGGCGTCCAAAGATTCAAAATCACCGGCAGTAATGGAATCTATCACTCTGCCATGTCTGAAGATATTGCAAGGTCTCATCAAACCGGAGAACAAAAAGAACAAGGAGAAATCTCTGGAATCTCTGGCTACAATAAAACCCGCCGAGAATATTCGTATTGATCTGAGGAAGTGGTTGGCTGGAGATCCAAAGCATACTTTTGAAACTTGGCGTCAACGCATGCCTGCAAACATTCCAGAGTCACCCACCGACAAAACTCCTTCCAAAGATGAGATTCGCAGTCAGTTCTTGGCAGAAAAGTATGCCAGGAAATGGAGAGAGCGCACCATGCAAGGACTGCTTCAACCAATGCAACTTACAAATGTCGTATGGCTGAAACAAGTCCTGTTCAATCCCAGCTCTCGTCTAGCCCGGCAAGTTGCTTGCAGCATGCTAGAGAGCCTGTGTCAATCGCCTCTCAGAAAGAAGGAAATTTTAGACTTAATGACTGGCTTCTTAAGTGAACTCGGCTCAGCTGGAGAAAGTGCAGCTGAATTTTTGGCTCTTTACCAAACTTTAATTCAACCAAAACCATGGAAGCAGTATCTTGCACTAAGAGGATTACTTCCGCATCTTGCCTCCCTTCTCACAGCGGAGATCCAAGAATTGCATCACTTGGAAGAAACTACCCTGACATCGGACTTAGCTCAAGGCTATGCGTTAAAAATGCTGACTGAATTATTGGCATCGTTCTTGGAACAAGAGAACATCAAACAGCAGTATAAAGGAAGACTTGTTGGAGCTGTACTGAGCGGTTATTTGGCTCTACGCCGCCTCGTTGTTCAACGTACTCGACTGATTGATGACACTCAGGATAAACTCCTCGAACTCCTAGAAGAAATGACTTCGGGCACGGAGGCAGAAACAAAAGCCTTCATGGCCATTTGTATCGAAACTGTGAAAAAATGTAGCATGCAGGACGTTCGCACTCCTGTTTTCGTGTTTGAACGTTTGTGCTCCATAATCTATCCTGAGGAAAACGATGTCGGTGAATTTTATCTAACCTTGGAGAAAGATCCCCAGCAAGAAGATTTCCTACAGGGTCGAATGCTTGGTAATCCTTACAGTAGCAATGAACCAGGACTCGGCCCTCTTATGCGAGATGTAAAGAATAAAATCTGTCAGGACTGCGAGCTTGTAGCTCTTCTTGAAGATGATAATGGAATGGAACTCCTCGTCAATAATAAAATCATTAGTTTGGATCTCCCTGTTAGTGAGGTGTTCAAGAAAGTATGGGTCGCTGAAGGTGGAGAAGGCGATGCAATGCGGGTCGTATACAGGATGCGTGGATTATTGGGTGATGCCACTGAAGAGTTCATTGAAACTTTATCGAACAAAAGTGAAGCAACTGTCGACAATGAAGAAGTGTACCGGATGGCCAATGTCATGGCTGACTGTGGTGGTCTCCAAGTTATGTTGGATAGGTTAGCAAGTAAGTACTTGTCCTTTTTTCTAATTTTTATAGTTCTATCTTCTGCAGGAGTAATACCGAAAATGTGTTGAATGTTGGAGTCGTAGGAAAAGATAAGGTGATGATTCTTGGTACGCACAATTTCTGACCCGATGATGAAAGATGAACAAAGTGTTCCTTATGCAATGGTCACTTTTGATACCGTAAAAGTCATTCCTAAGATTGTGTAAATTGCAGCCAGTATGCCAACAATTGGGCGTACGTCAACAAATTAGGAATTATTACAGGATTGCCGTCTGTTTGGAATCAGGGAAAGTCAGGGCATTTAAGGCGACTGGGGAAAGTCTGGGAATTTTGCAAGGTCTGTTTAGCAGAAGTGAGGGTTATCTAAAGGAAATAAAATCAAAGAAGATCAAGGAGAAAATCAGTTGAACGTGTCCAAGAGATAATGGGCGTTGAGGGGATGTTTGTGCATGATGTCATGACCAAGCAATTGGTATGGTATGGGCATGTGCAGAGAATGGCTAATACCAGGTTGCCAAAGAAGGTGTTGGAGTGGGTCCTCCCAGGTAGGCGACGGAGAGGGCGTCCAGCCAAACGGTGAGTAGAGGGCATCCGTGAAGAGATCGAGAGATGCCGGCTTCCGGAGGATCTCCACCATGACAGATTCTTGTGGAGAGTAGGCGTCGCAGAGTGCTCTAGCGCGCCGTAAAAGCGGCTTATGCATACATACATAAAATCAAAGAAGAAATTCTATTAGAAAGCCAGGAAATCTGAAAACCCTGGAGTCAAGGAATTTTATGATCAATTCTGGTAAATTTCAAAAACATGAAACAACAGTAAAAATACATCACTTCAAACATATTATCTCCATAAGAAAAATGTGTTTAAGATGGATGAAGGTAGAATTTATGCAGTATTGTGTATAGCTAATTCCAGTTTTAATTTCATCCCTTCTCATCATGGCTTTCAGGCATTCAAGATATGTCAAGATCACGACCACTGCTCCAGGTATTATTGAAACTTCTCAGACTTTGTGTGAAAGTTCAACGCAATCAAGAAGTATTGATACAACCTGATCTCTGTGCAATCACTACTCTCCTTCATGTGTTACAATTGTGTCTCCATCAACCTGCAGATACTGACAAGTCTCAGAGCTCCATTACTGAACAGTTACTTGATGTAAGTGTGTTACTCTAATCCTTGCTTCTGGGTAGCTTTATTTAAGTTTTCGAAACCTTTTATCAATAATAATATGTCAAAAGAGTGGCAAAGTTAAAGAGTTGTAAATTTTTAATGACATGACATTTACAGTAGGTCAATTCATTTTTATGCACATGAATTTTTAAAAAAAATTATGTCAGGTCACCTGACATAATTTTTTTACAATTTACACCTGACTCAGGTGTAAATTGCTCTCATATATGAATGGAATAGTGGACAAGGTACAAATTCAAGCATTCTGATTTATATTTCATCTTTAAAATTGCAAGTGGAACACGATTTGCGTTATAGAACTGAAACTAACTCCTAACCTTGGCACCAACGTTTTATATATCACCCATTACGAAAAATTTGAATTTTCCGCCTATAAAAAAAACCCGAGTCTACTTGAATCAAATTGCGTTCTACTACCGTTTTGGCAAGTCCTTTAATTTAGCAGTCTTCCTTCCTCCCTGTGTAGTTCAAAGTATAGAAACAATGTGCAACAGCTGAGCCAAAGCGCCAAGATTGAGGTTGCCATACTTTTATACCGCCGAGACTGTCACGGTAAAGTTCATTGTGTTACTTACTTCAGGTAGATTTTTTTCCCATGAATGGGAAGTTCGAACCAATGCATCAAAAACTGCGTATTTCTCAAAGGAAAATAACCCTCTTTCAGACTTGCATATCAATGTATAAAAGAATACTTCAGTTCATACTTACTCTATGTATATTTGTAATTGTTCAGTGAAAAGATTGATGTTGTAAATTTTCCTTTCTGTAGACTTTCATTAGCTACTCTTAGCCCATTAGATTTTCATGACTTTTGTCTAAATTTTTAGATCATGGAAACGATCCTGTCAAAAGCTGCTTCCCAACCCCCTGAAGAATTCACTCGGTTGTCACAGACTTTTGGCGGTCCTGAGCATATTCGCTCTTTACTTGACTGTACGTCCAATGTTCGTCCATCAGTGCTTCACCATCTGACAAAAGTTCTGGCTGCTCTCACATATGCGAATACCGAAAAAATGTCTGTTCTCATGCAATATTTCAAAACAACGTTTAATTTCTACAGTTTTGATCAAGAACGCACTCCAGAAGATGAACAAAAGGTCTGTGGTCAATGTAATTTTTTCTGCAATTTCAGGCTTATGGCGGACCTTTGGAAATACTTCAATATGGCTGAAACCTTGAATTAAATCAGTTTTTATGAGCTGTAATAAATGATTGAAGAAGAGAAGGGAGTCACTAGTAAATTTGTCGAAACTTTTCCAATTAGACCGCCCCTACTAGCCATCCTGTTTTTACAGATATTTTTCTTCTTATCTTCAAAAATGTTTACAAGGAGATAAAACTTTCTAAGTTACCAATCTTTCAATTCCATGAAAAAAGTGAAGTAGACTAAAATTTTTCATACCAGAGTCACTGATTTTTTTTATTTTTTCTTCCATAACCTTTTAAAAATCAAATCCAAATAAGACAAGTACAATGTAATATCTATATTTTTTTGTGATATAAAATGCTCGGATGTTAGTTTGAAACATTGAACATATTTACTCCTGCAAAATTTTGCACTCACTCCTTGTTTTCTTGTTTTAGTTGGAACTGTTCTGCCTACTGGTTTCTGGCATAGATTGTAACGAATTAGGTAACACGCTGAAAGATCATATCGTGTCTTTGGGAATTGTAGATAGTGCTTTAGAGTACGTATCATCAAATGCTCCAGCCATCAAACCTACGCTCTCTCGGGCAGATAGTGATGATTGGAAAACTTACATTTCAAAACCATCACTCAAGTATATTCTCAGACTTCTCGCTGGTTTAGCGACCCAGCACAAACCCACACAGGTAAGTTACAACCGTACGACATTCTTGAAGAATCGGAATTAAGATTATTAAAAAGGAGAATGTAGAGTGCTCACTTATTCTCAGAATTAATAAACAAGGAAGGTCTTTAATTAAAAATTATTAGTATCATTTGAGGTACCAGTCGAGCTAATAATCAACTAGCTTTTTTTTCTTCTGTTTTAGTTCTTCTTAAATCAAACTTATCAATGACAAAATCAGAAAAACACCAATCAACTCGGAAAACCAATATTATTATCATGCACAATTTTTCGCAGTGTCTCTTTAACTCATCAAAAGTAGTCTTACAGAATTTTAGGATCCAACTGCATTTCATGTTGTTCAGTTTCCACACATTTCTCACTTTCCAACAGAAAATTAAACAACATAAAGCCATAAAACTTTCTGTAGATTTTCCATAGACTGTAAATAATGATTTCATGAAGCTTCAAGTCTGAATTTTTTGTAGTTTTTTGCTTTAAAAAAATCACACCCGAAGAAGTTTGGCAATGTCTGATGTAGGTAAGCTGATTTTAGTTAAATTCGTCCGAATAATGATTGATTTTAATTGAGAAATCGAACTATGAGCCAAAATTTTGAAACATAGCATTCAAAATTTGTTCTTTTTTTGTAGATTAGTTGTTTTGTTAACTCTTCTCAGAATTCCAGGTTGCCCGAACAATGATCATGATTCCTCTTACTTAATGCATTTTTATGTTTGTAGATGGCAGTGTCAGCAGACTGCATTCCAATCATCCATCATCTTGAGCAACTGTCCTCAGACGAACATGTTGGTTCTTTGGCAGAAAACCTCATGGAGGCTCTGAAAACAAACGCTGCGGTAGCTACTAGAATCGAAAAAGTGCGTCAACAAACAAGAGCAGAAAAGAAACGTTTGGCCATGGCAATGAGAGAAAAACAACTGGGAGCTTTAGGGATGCGGACCAATGATAAAGGACAGGTACATTGTCTTAAATACTTTTTATTCTTAGCCAGCCATTGTTTTTTTATTCAATGGTTGTATTTTCCCATTTTAAACTTGTCCTAAATTTTTATCCATTGGTGAAAATTGTTTGGAGTATTTGGAAATAAATAACTTCAAGTGATAATAACCCAGAGTTTCTGAGAGAAAAGGGATTACTTGTTAAAGAAAACGTACCTTTAGATTTAAAAAGTTATTTTATGACTTCCGAATAAAAACTCACAGACAAAGTATTTATTTCATGCAATGTCTAACTGTATATTATAAAACATAAGCACAAAGGACATTAAAAGCTGGGGTTGTTGAAGCTCTTTTAGTTAAATGTTTCAGTTGAATATTAAAAATAATTGAATATTCCGCTACCCGTTTAATATTCTATTTTTCATTTCTTTTGCTTAAAGGTGACGGCTGAGACTTCTATCTTGCAACAAATGGAAGACTTAGGAGAAGAGACTGGTTTAGTCTGTGTTATTTGCCGAGAAGGCTATCGATTCCAACCAACGAAAGTCCTCGGAATCTATACGTTTACCAAAAGGTGCAATGTCGATGAATACGAGTCAAAGACCCGGAAAACTGTCGGCTACTCAACAGTCACTCATTTCAACGTAGTCCATATAGATTGTCATATGTCAGCTGTGAGGTAAGCCAGCCTTTTTTTTAATTTGAAAGACTGGGCCACTAGACAAGGTCTGAAGTAGAGGAAAATGTCACTTGTTTTCTCCTCAAAATGTTACATAAGAAGCAATTCGCACTACGGGAAGTTTTGAAATCAACCTCTGAACGAGATATTATCAAATCTTTTGAACATGGATCAAATGAAAGTTAGATTATACCAATGACATCATCTGTGCTTAACATCATCTGTGTACCATTTAACCAATGTTAATAGAAAGCACTTCTATCTTGTTCAGAAGTTGATTCTCAGACTTCCTGTCGTTTGATTCGTTTCCTTGTTGAATTTTGAAGAGAAAACACGCAGTAATGTGCCTTAATTCATACTTTGTCTAGAGACCCATTGAAGGATAAAGTACAAGGATAAAGACCCATTGATTGGTAACAGTCCATTTTTGTTAAGTTAGATATAAAGAATCTTGTATGGAGCTTTCGACCGTAAACTCTATATATCTGGTGTACTGAAAAATAAGTTGCAAGTGGTTTAGCTCTTTTCTGTGCCTTTCAATGGTGTAAAGTTGCTTTATTATCAGATATTATTATGCTTTGAGTATGGCAGATGAAGTTAATGGATGGTTTTTTCTTGCATTTACATTTTGTATCTTGCGAAATTCAAACTGACATAGTTTCAGTTTGGTTTGACATTTTTGTTTGCCAAAATGATCGTACAACACTTCTTTATGCTGTGATATTAATAAGTTAAGGAATGTATGTGAACTAAAGTCCTCTGACCTGTAACCAGTGGCGAGCTGTGAATGATCGATTATCACTATTCCCCATTTGAAGCTGTAGGAAAAATCAATTATTAAGGTGTTTTCTGCAAACACCCTGTTCATCGATCTATTCCAAATGTTTAAACGGCAGATCAATCAATATATCGCAAAGCACGCCACGTCACCGACTGTAACGTTTGCACCAAATTAATACTATCTTTTCCAACCGTCCATGTAGCATGCACTCCGCCATTTTCTTAACAATAGGGAAATGTCGTCCCTAACTTCACATTTTTGTTCAACTCAAAGCGTAAAATATGCTCAAGATAAATGAGTTTCTGAATGAGGTAAAATCAGATATTCTGACTTATCCTGAAACTAAGTTCATCACACGAATGGACTGTGGAACTGCAAAATTGCTTGTCTCGGTTTTGGTGTTTCAAAATTCCCGTTCCTATTTTATTTTTTGATAGGAGACTGATCCAACATCATGGTTTGACATTTTCTCTGAATATTCCTTACTCAGAGAAAAATATTACCGAAGTTTTCCAAAAACGGCGTTTACTAGTTTGTCTCATGGTAAATATAGTATTACAGGAAAATCAGAGAAAAATTCAGAATTTCCAACCTTTGGCAGTGTCCAAATCCTCGAGATTTTCTTTGTAGCTAAATCTCATTTATTTTGTTTAAATTATTCTATATTCTCCAAACATTCTTCAAACTTGTTTCTTTCTGTATTCTTTCAGGTTGGCTCGAGCGAGAGATGAGTGGGAGTCGGCTGCTCTTCAAAATGCAAACACCAAATGCAACGGGTTGCTTCCCTTGTGGGGGCCTCAAGTACCTGAGTCAGCATTCGCTAGTTGCCTAGCAAGACACAATACCTACCTCCAAGAATGCACTGGTAGTCGGTAAGTCAAGTAATCTTTAGCATTAATTTACCCCTGAAAAGAATTACAAAACATATTGATGGCCTAAGTGCGAAACACGTATTGCTGTGTCTTAAAATTTCCGCTACTATTTTATTCTCTTGAAGGGAAATGAGCCAATTTTATAGCTTTAAATTTATACAGAATATTCTATCAACAGAGGAGTATAAAGGAAGTTTTCAGGAATTTACGATGACTAGTTTTTCGAAGATAAAATCAAGAATGTTAGGAAATCTGCAACGTTAGAGACAGAGGTGGGTAGTTTTGCACTTTGACCTTCGATATGTTCAATGAAAAGTTAAGTGTACCTCAATCATTTTACTAAGGTTTCTCTTTTTTTAGAATGAACTAAAAGAGTAAAAGCACCTTGTAAAATGAAAAATGCAAGAAAGCCAGCCAAGGAACAGGGACAAATTCCTTTTTCGCTTTGCTCAGAATTATTGCCAATTACTCCCATGTGATTAAAATTTTTACAAAAGAATCTAATTGATTTCTACTCGTGCATTTTAGTTGGTGTTATTCTGCGGCATTGTGTCATCAGAATTTCTTCCAATAATACAAGTTTGTTGTTGCGTTGCCTTTTTTATGCATACGCTTGGTTTCAATGGTGAAGGCAAGAAAAAGTTAAGGAAATTACAGAAATTTTGACCACTCTAGAATATATTGGAATTTCAGAATGACAGAAAATCTAATAGATTTCAAGTCTGAGGACTGAAACTCCCATTGAAGGCAAGATTGTTGTGTAAGTCTAAGATGGCAATAGTCATGTCAATCCAAGCCAGACAAGAGGCCCATACTCATTTGTTTCTAAATGAATTTCTCTCTTTTTTACCTGCAGAGATATTAGTTACTTATCTACAATCCATGATCTTAAACTGCTATTGCTGAGGTTTGCTCAAGAAAAAAGTTTTCATGATGACACCGGCGGAGGAGGTCCTCAGTCAAATATGCACATCATACCCTACCTGCTACATATGGCATTATATGTGATAAATACGTGAGTATACTGCCTCTTTTAAATTTATTTCTACTTCTGTATCACATATATGAGATTTTTCCAAGATTGTGAGCTCACCTAATAATGTGAAGCAACAGGCAAAACCAAAACCTTGGTCTCAAGTAAGCTAGCCTGAACCCAGTCTTTTAGTTGTCAGAAGTAAAGAGCAAAAAATGAAAGGGGAACGAACCTTTGAAACAAATTAAATAAGATCCATAGCCATTTAACTGGCGAATGGCGCCCTAGGCATTATTGGTCTGAAAACCAAGAAAATCTTGAGAGCAAATGTGTCTATTTAGATTACATTTTGGAATCAGACTTGATCCTTGGGAAAGCTTTGACTTGCATACATTTGATCAGAAATACAAGGGAACCCGATGTATCAGATTACAAGCGCTATGGGCCACTCTATTAAATCGCAGAATCTGTAAGACTCCAATAATAACTATTGTTATCTTGCATCTTCCTTGAAAGGAGTGGGGAATTCTAATCCTTATCTTGAATTTGGTCCAACCCAAAAGAGCTGACATTGTGTACTGAAACGCATCAGCCTTTCAAATAAATTCAATAGTTTCGAGCCCTTACAATTCTCCAATCCGTTTCTATTTTATATATAATTGTTAAGGGAATTTTATTGTGAGGTTCAAAAGTACTTTTGCGCCTAAACTTTGCGGCTGCCATTTTATTTCAGTTCGGAACTCCCGATTCGGTGACTGATAAAAAGTAATGAGGGTGTGTGATTTTAGTACCGCTTCACTGGGTGGTCCTACAAAAGGTTCGACCCATGGATGACAAACGTGTCTTATTAGTCAAATTTATTGGCAATCGAGCCCATTAGTATTGATGACAGATAAGATAGAACCAGGCAGAACTTCCAAAGGAGGTTCGTCACCTTAAATATAATTCGCTTATTTGATACAGATTTAGATTCAGGTCAAAAATTACTTAACTAAGCAAGCTTTAGTGATCTCATGTTCACTTATTCTCTTTTTCTCTTTTCTTTCCTTTTCAGAACAAGATGTGGTGTTTTAGAAGAAAAGAACTTAACAGCTTACCTAGAAACGTCATCATCAGAGAGGTGGCAAGAATCTTGTTACGAAGCAGAAGGACCTCTCTATTGGGCAGTATTCTCACTGCTTCTTCATTCACCTGCTAGGTGGGCAAAAACGAGATTGTCTCATCTACGGAGGATCATAGTTCTAGCTCATATGAGGCATCTGTTCCCATCAGGACCTCATAAACTTCCTAATGCTGAACCCAAAGAATATAAAGTCTACAAACGCTACCTTGTCTTCTTTGGTCTCATCGACAACATTTATAAATTCTATTTTCCGGTAAGTTACATTTAAAAAATTATCTGCATAGTTACTCCTCAACTCTCTAAAGTATCAGTATGTCATTAAGTGCTTATAATGGGCTGCCCATATCTTGAGATGCCAAATATGGAAATAGCACTTTTCAAATGCAATTTAAAAGGGAAAAGTGACCTTTTCCCAACCAACACCTCAATTACTTCCAGCAAGTTCTCCACCCCATTTTTTCTGCTTCCTGAAGTGTCATACATCTCTAAACTTCCTCAAAATTAAGTTATGAGTACATTGCTTCTTGTGCTTAAAGAATTTAAGGAAAATGCTTTGATTTTACAACTTTTACCCCCTCTCCTTTACTACTCTTTTACGAATTATTAACATTTTGAGCCTTGCATCAGGTTAGGCTTTTTGTCAATCACTTCTAAACTCATTCTACTGCCCTGCCAAGAAAGAGCGCAGAGTTCAGAAGAAGAAAAATTATTTTCTGCTGTTTTTGATGTTGGAGGGGATGAAATTATGCAGAAAAATCGAAATGTTCATGTGTCAATAACCAGTGTAAAGGTGGGACTGGCTCACCAAACTATGTAATTAAGCCAGTATTAAAGTTGGTTTCCTCTAAAGCTTATTCTTTTCAGGGATTTCGCTTTTCCTAAACAGGTAGTCCATATGCATGAGATACATGGGATGTCTCAAAAGTAAATATATTTTTGCAGTAATTTCAAAATCAATGCACGGTGTCCATTTAATTCCTATTTCCTGGCTGAGCGCTTCTCAATTATCTCTTTTTTCCTTTTTTTCTGCAGAAAATTGTCACATCAGATGATCAGTGGCCCTCTACACTTGCTGATTACATTCGACACAATGATGAGGCGTTACTAAAAGCCTCCGAGAAACTCATGGCCTCCTACACTGAGGAGCTTTTACCTTGCACCAGCTTCCAAGAATTTTGTGATGTTGCTGGTAAGTGTATTTATTTTAAAGTTTTAATTTTTCTGCAAGGGGCAGATAAAAAAAAAAATGATTTTAGGTTAGAATAAAATTGAATTTTATTGTGAAAAATAGAAATAGTAGGAGTGCTGCCCCAGAAAACGCTTCCTTTCAAAAAGGACACTGCACATTCCATATGAGAATGTGTGCCCTGTTCGGATTTTCAATTTTTCATTGCATTCAACTGGTTTATGGATGCTGATCAAAAGTCATCTTTGCACCAACTTCTTACGAGCCACCATTTTTGCACAATACACCGTGGAAGTCTCGATAATTCCTTGCTTTAATGAAGATAAAGAGTCCCGTATTTTTGCACATCCAGTACGGCTCGGGTTGGGCGGCTGTGTGTAAATTATGTTAACAGAAGTACTGATCGGCGGCCAAGCGACAGTCTTTTCTGGGATTCCACACGCCTTCTCTTTTCACCTTCCAAATCAGTTTCTTTCTCTCTTCCACGCTATTGTTCTTACCAGACAGACACGCACTGCGTTTTGATTTCGAAATTATCGAAACATAATTCGTGGATTATGGAAAAACTCTCGTAGAGAATTGGCGCAATTATGACTTCTGATGTGCATCCATAGACAAAATTGATTCAATGAAAGAATTAGAAATCGAGCAGGGCACACATTCTCTTAAGGAGTGTGCGGGGTCCTTTGAAAATCTCCTCTAACAAGTTGTACAATTTACAGTTTGTCTGTGTCAATTAATTGACCATTTTGTGCAGCCCTGGTCACTTTATTATCTTTATTATCTCAAGGTCATACAATAGATATAAATTCAATATGATGTCACATTAGTCCATTTCCATCAATTTTTAGTGGGCTGCTAAATTTTGTTGGATTGATCTCCACCCCACTTCTGGTTCATATTGGTGGCATTACCTAGTGCTTATGATAAAAAAAATCGATGGACGAGGAGGACCGACGAGAACTAAAATGACTCGTAACTCAGATAAACACCTCCCGTTTAAACAGCTATCTGTATTTTCTCATTTGTGCATTTTTTTCTTTCAGATTTGTTGAATGAAATTTCAAACCCATCATTCTATATCCATGATGTTCTCATGGGAATGTGAGATGTGAAAACTGTGCTGTGTTAGTGTAGAAAATTACGGCTTCCCTGTGAATACAATATCTCTCTCCGCTGAAGTTTTGTGTGGCTTTCTGAAGCTTTCTAAACTATAAGATTGTTTTTAAGATGATTATTTTGTTATTGTCCTAGTAATCAGTTAATGTTTAGCTGTCAAATTATTTCTTGAATAAATGCATCAGTCCTTATTTGATATCCGTTTTTCTTTTTTCATACTGATCACTGTAACTTGGAGGTGCTTATATAGAGGGAGTCTAAAGGTGTCGTCAGCTAAGTTGACGGTTGTTTACTTTCGGTTTGCAAGCACCAACGACGAATTTGGGCCTCAGAACAAAGCGGCGTTCGCTACTATCCACATTAAAAACATCAGTCTCATGATCGTATCGTAAAAAAAAACTACCTATCAGTTATGATTTGCGACTTTTTTGTGGTTGTGATTTCTGTGTGGTTAAAAATTAAAGTGTTACAAGGTTTGAAAGTATTATAAAATTCATATAAGCTTGTGTTTTTACTTCTGAGAGAGCCAGATGTTTTTATGTGGATAGTAGTGACGCGAAAACACCTGCAAACCGAGAGTAAACAACCGTCAACTTAGCTTACAACACCTCTATCCGTTGTTAATTCCGTATGGAGATAAACTCGTATTCTGAGCATGCAAACAGTTCGCGTCAAATAAATTGATAGTTGTTTACTTTCAACTGTCAAGCAAAATAGACCTATTAACATATCTACACAGCAGCATTTCATTAGTATGGTTAATTTTTGATCACTATTGGACGAAGGTAACAATGTTGCTTGCTATCAAAAAGTAAAAAACTGCCAATTGGACGCAAGTTCTAGTCCAGTCATCATATTTGCTGTAAATAAAATACACGGAAAACATTGAATTACTGATTAAATAATTTTGTAGATGAAAAAAGTGACTGCAATGTTTCAGTGTAAATTTTACAACATAAAAATGCTACTTTAAACACCCCTGTGGTTACAGTAGCTTTCCATTATGGTAAAATGTACATTTGAAAAATTGCAGTCACTTTTTTTAACAATTGAATTGTTAAATCAGCAATCCTGTTTTTCCATGTAATAATGGTTCTACTCAGATGCTGGTGTTAATCAAAATATTGAATTTTGACTTGTTAATAACTTCATCCTCCCCTAAAAATTAAGCAGTCTTATCGTCTTAGGTCTGTTTGTAGGTCTATTAAGTAGAAGTTGTCCAAAAGCAAGCTCCAAGCTCTTTATTTTCAGATTAACCACTTTACTGGGGCAGAATTGAAATACACTTATGCATATGACTGCAGTAATAATTGAACAACATTAAAGTTGAATAAAACTGACAATTTAATTGCGATGAGATGTAAAAAAACATAGTATAAATCCTTTTCGGTCCTATTTGAGTCAATGAAAATGAGAAAAATTGTTACCAATAGAAAAAGTGTTCACATAATAGCAATACAATGGAATTATGTTGAGGAAAATATTTCATCTTGTTCACTTTCTAAAAATGTAGATCTGGAAAGTTCAACAGTAAATGCTGTCAAAAAAATGCGGCAAAATTATGGGTAAATGAGCAGAATATCCCATGTCTTATCTATAATTAAAAGTTAAAGAGTCATAATAACAGTTTCACTGCTCAAAAACAGCAGAAAGAAAATCATATGATGGCCTCATAAACTGTCACGTAAAACGTGAATTTTGAAAGTAAACACCATAACTAAAGGCAGATGCTAAGCGGAGTCAATGATAGCCTTGGAGTATTTTTCAAGGATTGGATTGCAGGTGCATTAGCTCATTCAGAGAACCACCGCCACACAGTAGTTAGTCAACCCTTAAACAACGGACAGAGGGGCTCACTTAACTCTACCCTTCATCTGCCTTTTTCCAATGCATAAATTAAAGTATTCAACACACCAAATAAAACTACTTGTTCATGCATTCAAAATCCCTGCTAGGCATGATAAATATTTAAAAATGTTACAGATCCAACACAAATGTAACAAATCCATTCCTGAAGTCACAAAATGCATACCTCTGATAGTAATATTGCAAATCGCGGCTTACATTTTATTTTCCCTTAAAAACTTTACCTCACATTTATTGTTGAAATTTTCCTCACTTGTCAACCATATAAACCTCGAATATGCAAATAAATTCGAAGGGATTTTCATTTTCTTCAAAAGTAGAAAATCATTGGAGGTTTTGAAATATTACCATAGAATACAGGGACTAACGCCAACAGAAGCGCAAGCCATCACCATTTTCATGTCAATGAAGCACAACGAAAGGAAGCTCTTTCAATAAGTACTGTCTACGTTAGCGGTAGGTCAACGTTAGGGAGAGATCGAATAATGATGGATACATACGTTTTTAGGAATTGAAAGAGTTTTCTTTAAACTTATTTATCACTAAACCAGAGGAGTACTGTGAATTTGCTTGAAATTTAATGTTTTTTCCACTTAAATATTTGTAGATAACCTTGAAATTGCTTTCGATAAGTACCAGATTGACCGACTCTGAGAAAACAAATGTTAACATTGATTCTTACAGAGCTTTTGCTTCTGTTGACCCAGTCTATTTATTCTATGCTAAAGTTAAATGTCAGGAGCGCGTGCGGTCGTCAAGAAATCGGTTAAATTGTTTGGAAATTGGTATAACTGAGTAATTTATCATTTGGACAGTGACATTACTTTTACTTCTGTTTTCTTCAACTCATTGGTTTTGTGTGAGCCTTTAAAATACTAGAGTAGTTAAAAAAAAAGGGGGGGGAATTAACTCATTGTGAAATGAAAATTGACTATTTTCACCTGAGTTTAGATTCTAAAAGATGAAGTTTGATTAGACCTGCCCCAAGCCATCTTTGGGAAAACTGACATGATGGTTCACTTCGAACAGAATCTATGGCAGCAGATTGGCGGGTCCTGAGCTGTAGCAGTATCATCACAACAAACATTATCTCCAAATAATTTTCCGGCAGTTTCTGCCCATGAATGACACACTCCTGTCCTCTTCTGCTTGGAAACTTCCTGATGGCTGTGAAAAACAGGGATTAGAAATCGTGAAGCATCCTCATGGGTCCACGGCGCATCATGGGAAAATGTTGGTTCCTTGGAGGAGTGATACATACATCTAGGTAGTCTCCAATGACAAACCTATGAACAAAATATAACATTGTAAAAAAATGAGTTGAGGGCAGCAAATTTTCAATGAGGGTTTACTATAGATGAAGATAGGACAAAAATAGCTAAGCTTTGAGCTGACAAATAGCAGACAACTGAGCTGTACAGAATGGGGCTGTTACTTGATTCAGAAATGGGCCTGTTGCAAATAATAATAATATAATAATAATAATTTATTTTATTTGTAAATGCACATATATAACGGCGAAAACAAATATGTCAAAATTAGTTAGGATATAAGAAAAAAAAAAAAAAGAAAAAAAAAGAAGGGAAAAGAGATTACAGAACTTAAGCTAAATATTCTGCTACACTATACAAACACTTGGCAATAAAAAATTGTTTTAGTACATTTAGAAAATTTGAGTCCCTGTATTTGGATTTCAGGTTTGCGGGAAGTTTTTCAAAAAATATTCGGCCGCACCTTAGTGAGTGGCTGTTCCTTGTTGCGTTTGTCATGGCCTGGAATCTAGTGTTTATTTTGTTATTAGTGAGATTCGTAGGAGCTATAGAGCTATTCATATCAACTATAAAATTCGAAATGGACCTATAAATTACGAGGGAGGGAACGGATAGAATTTTGAGATCAATGAAATGATTTTTGCAAGACTCTCTTGGCGCTAATTTTAACATGGTTCTTAGAGCCTTCTTTTGGATGATGAAGACTTTTTACAGGAGAGCAATTTTACAATTAGACCAAATAGTTACGCAATAGTTAATGTGGGACATAAATAGGGAGTGGTAAACTATCATAAGTACACTAATATCACAATATTTAGAGAGGACTTTAATTACAAATATGGCAGAGTGTAACTTGCTGCAGATGCTGTTTATATGGCTATCAAAATTTAGCTTATCGTCCAAAAGAATCCCTAAGTACTTCAATATGGAGACCAATTCAATTTCTTGGTTGTCAATCAAGATGTTAAAGGAACCTACAATATTTTTGGTACTCAAAAGCATGTATTTAGTTTTGTCTACATTAAACTGGAAGAAATTCAAATCAGCCCATTGTCGGAAAATGTTCAGAAGAATAAAAACATCTATCTCTAATCTTGATAGATCCTTATTGCTAACCACAAAAAGCACATCATCGGCAAAAAGAAACATTATAAATAATGAGAGCACTAGGTTCAGAGATTTGGTTTTGATGTACTGAGGCGCATCGTTGGCGAAGATTAGAAACAGGAGAGGTCCAATTACTGCTCCCTGTGGGACACCGCCTAAAATCTTAGCCAATTTGGACCTAAAAAAGGAACTACCATTGGTTATCTGAACATACTGATGCCTGTCTGAGAGGTAGCTGTAAATAAGATTGATAGCTGGTTCACTGAGTCCAAATTTCTTTAGTTTGATTTTCAAGAGTCCATGGTGGACGGAGTCAAAAGCCTTCTTTAGGTCTACTGCCACCGCAACTGAATATAATTTCTTGTTGTTGGTGAGAAGATCATGACAACGAGCGATGGCATTTTCGGTGCTGACTTTTGGACGAAAGCCATATTGATGTTTATACAGCAGGTTATTTGTTTGAATAAATTTGTTTATTTGTTTACATAAAGCATGCTCATAGACTTTGGAGATTGGCGAAATTTGCGCAAGTGGTCTATAGTTATTTACATCTTGTTGATTCCCGCTTTTGAACAGAGGCGTAATTTTAACTGTTTTCAGTACATCAGGAAAAGTGCAAGAAGAAAAGGCATCATTAATGCATACAGCCAGGGGGGCACTGATTTCATACTTGATCTTTTTAACAAAGGCATTAGACAAACCAAGATGATCTTCAGATGTTTTATTATTTAATTTGTCAATAATTAATTCAACCGACCCAGAGTTGACAGGATTAGGATAAAATCGGCTGGCGCATTGAGGTATGTAGTCATAATCAGAAGGTGTTGGAATCATGCTAGAAGTTTGCTCCATAATTAAAGCAAAGAAATTATTCATTGTGTTAGCAATCTCTGTCATGTTATCAATTTCCTTGCCGTCCTTAGCAATACTATGATTAATGCTCCCCATCCTTTTGGAAGGTCTGTGATTATCTCCAGGAATCCTTGGACACATTATTTGATTTTTTAATCATTGACTTAATTGAATCTGACTTAACATTGATCATGTATGATTTATATTTAGTCTTAATATCCTTAAGCTTATACTTAATAGCTAGATACAATTCTCTATTAAAGTTTGGCGAGTCCCTGATTAACTTTAGCTCAGAAGAGAGGTCTCTGACAGTTGCGTAGTGTTCACGCTGGACCGTTTTATTTATGCTACTTAGTCCTTGGTTGAATCTAGTCTTAATTTTTGGGAAAAAAGTTTCATGCGCTCCTACAATAAAATTGATAAAGTCGATGGGAGTAACTCTCTGTAGATCCACAATCATATCGGAACAGCCAGCTTTCATGGTGGCCAAATTAACCGGGTCATATTTACGTGCATATTTGTAAATTGGAGACTCTGGTCTAGATGATTGAGCTTCGCCCTTCAAACTACAAAAAATTCCATGGTGATCAGATAAAGCAGTATACATTACAGAAGAAATTAGGTCTGAGGAGGGAAGATTAGTGAATAGATTATCGATTCTGGTAGCAGAATGGTCTGTGACCCTCGTATCTTCAAAAATAGTTGGTCTTAGATTCATAGAACTAAGTAAATTTGTCATTTCATTTGCTTGATTTGAGTCTATTTTAAGATCGACATTGAAGTCACCAACTAGAATAATTTTATGTTTTAGGTAATAGTTGTCTAAAAATGCACTTAAATTATTAAGAAATACTTCAAAATTACCACTAGGAGATTTGTAGACGAGTACAATTATTATCTCATATAGTTCGGTCCTGATAGAACATGCAGAGACTTCGAAGTCCTTATCAACACAGAGATGGAGTGGAAATTTCACATTTTTTGAAATGAGAGAATTACTGACCATGATCATAGTACCACCCCCCTTAAATTGAGACCTCGAACTAACACTAATGATTTTGTATTTGAAGAGCCTTTCAAAATAGCTTACTTCATAATCTTTTAATCCGTGTTCAACAACACATGCGACTTGAGGTTTCTCGTACATTAAAATATCTTGTAGCAATTCAATTTTATTCCCTACGTATTGCAAATTTTGCTAAAAAATACTGCACTTAAAGGAGGAGGGAGAAGAAAATTTATTATCCTTAGGTAAGGGAAAACCTAATTCGTCGGAATTTCTTAGTATAAAAAAACAAGTACATCATTAAATTTTTGGGCCATTAGGGATTGCCCCTTTCCGTTAAGGTGAAGCCCTAGAGGAGTAAAGCAATCTCTTTGCAAATTGTGGGAGTCAACTAAGTAGAGGTTGTCATATGAATTTAGAATGTCACAGATTCTTTTATTAAATATTCTAATATCTTTGTTCTCTCTGCTGTTGTAAGGAAGGTCGTATCTTGGCGGAATTGTGCTTAACAGTAGATTGCAATCCTTACATTTTTCTAACGCACCCACTAATTCAAGAAAAAATAGATCACCCTTCCCTTCACACACCTGTTCAGCGCCAAGTATTAGCCCTAAATTTTCGGAAGAAGGGCAGTCCATCTGCTTCATAATTAGTTCTAAAGGGGCATTCGGATAAAGGCTAGAGTAAGCTTTTATAGCATGGTTAGAGTTAAGTCGAGAACTAACATTTTTCCCATGATGAGAGGTTGAGAAAATATGTATTGTTTTGCTATTTTTACTCTTTATTTGGTGAAGGTGGTTGTCCAATTTCATATCATTTACATTAATAGAATGTTCCCGTAAATTGCCTTTCTCTTTATCCTGCCTAAAACTTGCGTTTATTGAGCTTGTATACCTGAATTTTTTAAAAATAAACGTATTCCTAAGACTAAATTCGGGTGTAAAATCCCTTGCCATTCTTTTATTACATTTTGTCTTCTCACTTCTAAGTTTTTCTCTCATGTAATAATTTGTTTTGCTTAATTTTTTTATTTCCTCATTTAGTTTTTTATTTTCTAGTAAAACATTTTCTAAAAGTAGCGTATTTTTTGCTGATTTGTTGTTAGACTTCTCTTTCCTTAACTCCTGCACTAACGTTTCTAGTTGTACAATTTTATTATTATATCCTTCAATCAGTAGGTCAAAGCTTATTTCAGTTTGGCTGCATTTATCTTCATGTGAGTGAGTGACAGGAAGAGTATCATGGTGTAGAGTTTGTTGACTGAGCTTCGGTTTGCAGGCGCAAGTTAGGAAGGCAGTATTATCAGGTTGGAGCTGATCACACTGGGTTGAGGTACTTTTGTGCAGTGTTTTCTTCCTTGACCGTTCAGGGAGCTTGACCGTGGGCGCCGCCGTCTTTTCCTTCATCTCTGTAATGGAGGTCGTTGGTGTGGAGTAGATATCGGAAGAGGATGAGTCGAGCACGCTGCTCTCGTCACTATCATTAGAAGTCAGCGCTGTCTTCCGTGTCCGTCTGCTGGGTGCTGAAAAATTAGATGTCGCCGTTGCACTCCTCGTCATGTTAGTTTGAGTTTTCTTCAGCATCTCGTCGCTAGAGGTCGTTGGGCTTTCCGAAGGAGATAGTACTGTTGCCTTCTTCCTTGTGTTCCTCTTCCCACCATTTATCAGTAGGCTGCTGCTTGGCTTGCTACTGGTGCTAGATGTTGTTTTAGAGCGACTACTGGATGACGGAATTTTACAAACTTGCGGTGTTGAAAGATCGTGTAACCCGGTGGGGGCAACACTCATAGCTGCGAGATTCTTGGTCGAAGACCGTAGTAGCCGCGTCTCAGAAATAGTCGAAGTCAGGGATCGGTCGGAACCATTTATGGTGGCATTGGAGGCCAGTCGGGCAACAATGGTGCGGCCGGCGCGAGTAGATAGATTAGGTACTCCGTTTGGCGAGCGAGAGCGATTGGGCGGCCGCGGCATGTCAGGATGCGCGCGATTACGTCTCCGAATTCCTCGAATTCTTCGAATTCTTTAGAGGAGGTACATGGACAGTGCGACGACAAAAAACTTGAATTTTGGACACACAATGAACATTAGACAGATGCAATAACGGATACGGTTGCACAAGAAACTCACGCACACGCTGAAACTCACTATGCAATTTTAATGAGAAATTAACACACTGAAAAATAGAGAAATGTCAGAGCTGTTTACAACGCGTCTGTACACACGGACACGTCGTGGAAAAAAAAAAAAACTTTTTGCCAGAGCAAACTTTTGCCAGAGCAAAAATAAGAGTTGTTCCTTATGGAAAATGTCTCAAAAATCTCGATGAGCGCATCGGCAAACTCTGAAATGCACCCCTAACTTCACAATCTGCGTAAGAAATTTGCGTTTTTGTAAGCTTCCTGCTTCAAAAAGGATACTACAGCACAGATGAGCATGTCAACATTTTGTTAGAGGAGTCGTTCCATTCAATCCCTGCTCAACATGGCTAACACTTCCGCGCGCAAGTTGAAGAGAGCGTGAGCTCAATCAAGGCGGATAGCTATCAACGCAAGAAAAATGGGAATGTAAACATGCCGATTGTTATCAGGTGGTTAGAATCATCGTCCCGTCACATGTGTTTAGGCGGATTGACGTCGGCTATGTCGAATATTGCGTGGTATCCTTGTGAGCAGGGGTTGGATAAAATGACTCCTCTAACGAAATGTTCACCTGTGCTGTAGTATCCTTTTTGAAGCGGAAAGCTTGAAAAATCGCAAATTTCTTACGCAAATTGTGAAGTAAGGCGTGCATTTCAGACTTTGCCGATGCGCTCATCATGATTTTTGAGACACTTTCTATGAGTAACAACTCTTATTTTTGCTCTAGCAAAAGTTTTCAACAGGCCCATTGCTTTTTAACTAGGTGGTATTGGAGTAACTTTAACTTACAACAATATTAATTGTGTCTCCAAGCTTAAAATGGCTCAAGACGGATTTTTTGGTGTGAAAACAATATATTGAAAGTTGCAGGAATAAACAGAATGTTTCTCATTAGTTTAGAGCTTATGCTGTTCGATAAATGTGACATGAAGATATTTCAGTACTTGATTTTTACATCCTATTTCAATGCTGTCACCGTGTGAAGGTAGCTAGAGAGGCATTTTGATGCCAATCTTGCAAAGAAAAATCTGTCAATAGAGGACTGATTCAAAATTAGGAACAGATTGTTAATAATTCAACTTGCCTGGCTTGCCCTAGTGTCTTATTGTCCTCATTGCCTTTCTGTCCAGAGATTGTGACTCCGATTTCCCTGAAGACATATCTATGCATTCTGAGGTCAGGAGAAACAACAACAAAACTGAATTGGGTTCCTTTCTGTCGAGCTTCAGCATTCACTTCTTTTACTAAACTCGTAAGTTCTCGTAGAGTAGCATCCATCCTGTAATTTCATAATGAAACAAATTTGAGGAAAAGAACTAAAAGTAACATAGCGGCAACCTAATTTTTGTTAAAGCTTGCTTGTACAGTATCTGTCCACAGTTTTGTCTAATATCATTAAGACTTTCATGCTGTCGCCAAGGCCTGCTGTTCAACTCTGCTTTTTTAAATTTCCTGCAGAACTAGACCCGATTTCAGTTAAAAAAGTGACCATATGAGATCTCTTGGGAAGAAACAGACAATCACCTTATAGGTTAATTATTATGCTACATTATTGATGAATCCTGAGGACGCACTATGGACTGCTGCCAGCTTTTATCACTTACATGTTGAAAAATAAACATTTCTCTTCGATGGAAAGGGTTACGGATACCACAATAAAATTTGGAACCGTAAGAGGGAGTGCTTTCAACATAGCGAGCTGCTATTTCCAACTTGACGTTTTCCAAGTGTCCCTCACAAGCCATTTCCATTCTATTCTTTTCTTCCTTTTCTCCCTTCATTTCTTTGTTAAAAAAAGAGAGGAATACAAACCATGTATAGATCTGTAATTCATTCGATGGGACGCTTCCTCTGTTGTAATCATTTATGTTGTTGTGTCGGCCAACATTGCAAAAGACCCTTAGAAGAAGAGGACAGGTCTGAAAAAATAATTGTACATTAAACTTCATTTAGCAGACAATGATGAAATGAAGACAAACTTTTTAACAAAGCAGATAAAAAAATGCTACTTAAAGAGCAACACTCAAACCAGCTAGAGCTTAGGTACGCCAGATAAGTAGATGCTTGCTTACAATCTCCATCCACGCAATGCCGCAATTCAATAGCGTTTAAGGATTGACCAAGGGCAACTATGCTACTGTGACCAATTACCTGAAACAAACTCTTCACATAGTGTCGATTCTCTGAAGTTCTAGACCTATAGCTCAGAGCTTTCATAAGTTTTCACGCTCATTTGACACAGTGACGGTGAAACTTCCAAACCTCATATCTCGGTTTGCGATGTGGCATGCTCTCTGCTATACTTTATTTTTTGATCTGAAGACCATTCAGCATCATTTCTTAAAATTTCTGTGAATTTCCTCCTCTGCGCATGAAAAATTCTGAGAAAAATACAGGGAATGAAGTTGATTTGTTCTTCTTAAAAAAAATAAGATGAGAGCAGAGATTTTTGAATACCGCAAACGTGATACACGGTTCGGGAGTTGCACCATCAATAGGAAGGTAGGGGGTAGGTAGGGTGGTGAGATAGGATGCTTATGATTACCCACGACCAGATCATGAACCATGAGATGGCCAGGCGGCGCTACATCCAGTACGGGTTGCCTATCGTCTTGCCGAAATATCCTAATGGTCAGGTCTAGATGGTATATACGTTTGAGCGTACGCTTTACAGCATTCATAGGAGGCAGTATAATGTACTCATATTGATAAAATACCCCTTCATCCTCAGCAAGAGGCGGCTTGTACTACGTTGACTTTCCCATTTAGATACCAGGAAGCCATACCCTTGACGGAATGGAAATGAAGAAGAAAACGAATGCATGATTCATACCTTTTCTCTATCAACTGGCTTCTCAGCTTCCAGAAGTTTTTCATCTATTCTGACATAAGATTCGAGGTTTCCTGTGGCCATGATCAATAAAAGTTGTCCAGCAAATTGGACAAGTTGAAAACTCTGCAGAAACAGATGTTAGACGGAAAATTGATGGTTTCCTCGCTTCAAAAACAATAAGTACACGTTTTCACTCAGTTATTCACAACAACGTACACGCAAAATAGTAATTCTGAGTAATTAAAATGACAAAATTGTCGTGAACCGCTGTACTTCATGCGAACCGCGAACACGAGATCCAGATGTAAACAGATTTGGCGCTGGCGAGAGACATCAAAGGTTATGTCGTTCCTTCCATCTCTGTTCTACTCTGTGTGTCAATGTTCTCTAATGACAAAAATGTATTCCCATTTTATCTCTACATTTTTGTTCTCATTCCTTCGTTTTCAAAAATAGCATGACGGAGAAAAATGAAAAACTTGCTAGGAATCGTGAATTAGTTCTTATTAATGGTGCTAAATTTATAAGGATCGTATTTTATCGTCTTTAAAAGTCAAAGTCTCAGGACACCAAGAGTTGAACAGGTAAGTTTTGCGTTTTGCATTCTCTCTTTCTGCAGGCTCAGATGATCATAATTTCTTCACTTCACTTCAGTTGACTGATTCGAAGTTATCGCAAGGAGAAACGTTATCAGTTTATCACCGAATGTGTTTTTATTTCCAATCTCCAAGAATCATCTACAGTGAAATTAATTTTCTCAAAAGTCTCCCTGTGTCTTTTAATATTTCTCTGCAAATTCGTCATGCTTCAATTTATTAGAGACTTGAACTGTGATTCAATAGGCTAGTGCATCAATATCTAGGAACTGGGCTAGGCCATGGACATGAACAATGCCAGTCTCTCCAGCCAAATTATGTCAGATGCTTAGCTCCCTACACTCATGACTGTCATTTATTCTCCTCCTGATACTTTGTGAGTTCAGGTGAGCATAAACCACTCATTATTTTGATCCTTTCGACAAAAACTATTTGCTTTCTCCTATCCCCAAAGTGGTTTACTGTCGAGACTAGACTTTACGCAATTATGTTCGGACGAGCTATGTCATCAAATTATGGCAGCCAAAAAGAGGCTGGGCTAATCAAATGCCAAGTAACCGAATAGATTAATTCCTTATCAACATGTTAAATGACTCTCTTAACTCCCTGTAAATTTCAGCTGTGTTGCTCTTATTGTCCTAACATGTTGCTCCCTCTGTAGTTCGCAGGCAAGCTGAGGCAGCGTGCTCCTTGAGAAGAGTCCTGGAGCTATGGTCACAATGAGCTCAGAAAAAGCCGCACGGCGCAAACTGGAACCCAATCGCGCTAACATATCAGCGAGTCAACCTCTGCCCCAAATTGCGGCTCATTCTAGTGATGAATCACCGAACCATTTAGTTTACAAGAAGGTAAGCTGCCATTCGAATATTCCAACAACAATAAGTGAAAATGAAATATGATGACCATGATGTGATTTACATCTGTTTCACACTTTTTCACTCCAGGATTATTATTTAACCTCTCTGGAAACATTTTATGAAAGTTATGCTAACACAGTTACAAAAACATGACATGCAATAGAAGAGTTTCCGTGGGGTCTAGTGTTCGTTGCTTATTAGTGGTTCTTCAATTCTTCACTCCTGTTGAATTCATTCATGAGGAAATATCTTTGCTAGATTTTAAACATCCTGCAACACTTTAATAATTTCTAAATTTTATCTTGATTTTCCTTAATGTGTCTTACCTAGAGTATTGACTGACAACAGTGTTTCTCTCTATTTGGAGGGTCTTTGAATTTTTTAAGCGACAGAAACTATGATAGGTAACTGCCATTTATGACAGCATTTGAGGATTCCACTCATGATGGCATTTTTGCCTGTCTGGATTTATTGAAATTTTTCCTGTCCAACCGATTTTGGGGGCGGGGGTTTATCATATTTAATGTAATCTTCTGGCACTGAATTACTTACCATTTTCTGAATCTAAGGTAAAACTATTCACAACACGCAAGGAGTTAAGGTGATTTGATGGACGCCATATTTTGTGTCAGAATGGCATGCGATATATCGCATCAATTGGTTCAATTTTTTCAGGTCCTCGTCATTTTTCTCCAATTTTGAGATCGCAATTCTGTTGTTAGGAGACTTTAGCACTCACTTACCAATTTTAACAAAGAAATTCAATGTAATAAAGGCGTGGTTTTTTCAGAGAGAAAACACTGCATTCGATACTGATATTGAAACTGCACTCGAATGCGATATTTTCTCTCTGAAAAAAACGACGCCTTTATTACATTGAATTTCTTTGTTAAAATTGGTAAGTGAGTGCTTTAGTCTTCTGACAACAGAATTGCAATCTCCAAATTGGAGAAAAATGACGAGGAGCTGAAAAAATGGAACCAATTGATGCGATACATCGCATGCCGTTCTGACACAAAATATGGCGTCCATCGAATCACTTTAGTATGTTATTCTTTTATGTTAATTTGAATTTGGACTTTAAAATTTTTCTGCATTTTTTTCACTCCTGTCCTAGAGAACCCTCACTTTAGTGTAGGGCAGTTAATGAATTAATTAATTCTTCAAAAATGTTCATTATTATCAAAGCAATAAAAGTGAAAGAAAAAAACGATAGAGCAGAAAAATTGATGTTGCTGATTCCCATATAATATGTCAAATTTTTTTGTTTTCTTCCATTCTTTTTATATGTTTTAATATGGGTATATCTCTGTGTGTATTGTTGCAGATGGAACAAATTATTGAACGGATGCAAGATGAAAACACTGGAGTACCTGTCCGCACAGTCAAAAGTTTCATGACCAAAATTCCCTCAGTTTTTATAGGTAAGCTCTTCGTTGTACATTCTGTTATGCTGGTACAATCGGACACATTTATGCGCACAAAGTCTTTTTGCCTCAAAAGATTTCCCCAGTAGCAACGATCGTATTAAAACTTTTAAAAAATTCTTAAATTTCAAATAGACAACTCTCAAAAAAAAACTGTTAAAATGTTCGTTTTAGAAAACTCTTTTTGGTTATTTTTAAAGTGAAATTTACGAGCGGTCAAATTTAAGTAAAAAAGTGTTAAAATACTTAAGTGATATTTAAAGAGTTCTTTTAACACTTTTTTCCTTGAATTTTTATTAAATATTACTTTTAAAAAAAATAGCCGAAAATGGTTTCATGATATGACCATATTAACAGTTCTTCCAAGAGTTTTTGAAAAATGTTTTCAGAGGTCTTTGCTACTAAGGTTGAGAAAAAACCCATTTTTTTTGTATTCATCCTATTTTTAGATTAGAGTATGGAGGGTTTTGTAGTTAGGAAATTTCATAAATGGAGGATTATTTTGGAAGTTCCAAACATAACATAGTAATCATTAATGAATGGACCATTAGACAGGAAAAGAAGCAAGAGGATGTTAGGTTGCCATTAGATGCTTGGGCTGTAGCCTGAAAGAAGCTGTGATTGTCGAGTGCGGCTTGGCGCCTAGTTGCTAGCTGTTTGAAGAATATTCCATTAAACTTTCAAGCCATGAAGTTAGCTTGGTTCCCTTTGAAAGGAACAGCTTTCTGTGGAATTTTTCCTCCGTTTGAAGAAGATTTTACGGAACTACAAAACAACAAACTCAGTATGGTTCTCTTATAAAAAAATAACTTAATGGGAGCAGAAATTTTGAAATTCCACAATTGAGATCTATTGTCTCCAAGGTTGAACATTGAGATGGGTAATATGTCAAGTTGTGTGAACTCATAATAAATGCATGTAGATTAATTTATAAGAAGGATAACTTCTTTAAAAATTCTTTGTTGTTGCATTAAATTCCTCAATTCTGCAGAAATTCTCTAAACTGAATTTTTTTTTCCCTCCCCAGGAGCCGATCTCATCTCTTGGATGCTCAAGAATTTAGATGTTCAGGATCAGGGTACGAATATTGGATGTTGTGTGTGGTCTGTGTTCGTGGTTGTTGTTAGGTAATACATGCATTGCTGTGATGTTTTATGCTTTTTTCTAACGTACTTACTTGCCCTATCAAGCTACAGCTCTACAGTGAGAGTTCATGACATTTAGTGATAAGTCAAACCGCAAATCTTTACTTGGAGATATGTTCTTCGCATGATTTTTTTTCTTTGAATTGAGGACAACTGTATTTTATTAAGCATTTTACACAATGACCTTTATTTGATGGCTTTTCTTGCTGAACTATCAAAATCTAGATTGATTTAAACCATCAAATGGATAACTAAAGTAAAATGGAAAACTGAAGTAAAATCTGTAGGATTTGCAGTGCAGACTCATTCCATAGATATTTAATAGGTACTTAGTTGACAATTTTCTATATCCTATAATTTTTTTTAATTTGTATCCTTTGTGTTTGAGTGTTGACCCTTAATTGGCAGAATCACCTTATGGGTCGGGCCAGGGTGTTGACCTGTGGTTGACAAACATTTTTCTCCATTAAAAGGTAAAATGATGTGCTTCACTCCATAGGGATTTTTCTAAACTATCGAAGATCCTTTAGTTAACCTCTCACTGCCGGAGGTTACTGGTGGCTCATTTTTACTGACTTTGTTTTATGCTTGAGTGCGGTGGAACTGCTTCACTGGTTATGCCCAAGTGTACATGAAGGATGACCCCAAAAAATTAATTTAGTATAATGGGAGGAAACAGCCTGATATAGGTATGGCAGTATACTTCCTGGAGGACAGGACCCCTCTGAGGGGAATTTTAGGGTAAAAAAACTGTCAGTCAGGGAATAATATATTCAGAAGTTCCATTACCATACAACTCGGTTACTCAGTAGTTTTGATTTCAAATATTTTTAGTACCTATGAAAAAGTTCTGAAGTTCTGCGGTTGTGAAATCTTTCCTCCTTAATATTTTAATCATCTCTGTAAGTTCCATTTGACACTAATTTTTTGTTCTTAATGCATTTTCTTTTGTTTCGTCCGTGCTTGACATAATTTTTATTCGCAGCATTGCTCTCATATTATTTACCCCTTTTTCACCCTTAATTTCCTCAAATGTAAGGACTGTAGAGATTCTAAATTTCCATCTAATCAGTCCCTAAACTTTCTTATCTTCAATCCTCCTAAAATTTTACTCCTTTTTACTCAATATGAATTCAATTTTCAAAAATACCAAGTTGATAAATTATATCATTATTGTCCTATTTCATCTTGCAACCAGATTCAATGCTCTCTCGTTTTTTTTAATACTAATGAAAATTATCTTTAATTTTCACCGGGTGTAATCTCAACATGTATCTAACAAATGAAATCTGCTTTAATCAAGTGCATAAAAAATGTGTGTCTAAAATGATCCAATTCCTTTAATTTTTAGCTTTTGATACAATTATTCAACAATTTTTTATTCAAACACAAACGGATTGCGGTGAACGCAAGGGTCGTAAGACGGGATGTTGGAGTTTTTTAGCAAATTTTTTTATTCCCATCTGAATGGCGAATTGGAGAAAAAATAAATGAACCACTTTTTGCAAAATTGATTCATTGATGGGTGTGGACTTCAGGGGGACTTGATGGACCTAGGGTAACTAAGAGCAGTGTGCTCGGCTGTTTGGTCTTAAGAACCCAAAAAATCAGACGGTACTGTTATTTTGTACAATACAGGATTCCCAAGAGGTTATCTTCTCTTTGCATTGTCTTATTAGAAATGAGTTAGGCCTCTGAAACCTTGTCCTTCAAGAACCTTCTTCTCTGTCACAAATGACCTATTAATATTTACACTTAGCTCATGAAGAGCTAGCTGATTTCTTGCCACATTGGCAAGGTGAACTAAGATTAATTCTCTTCCATTTTGTGTAATGTATAAATTCTCGATGTTTTGTTGCGTTGACGTGAGCTGTTCAACAATTAGCCCACACATAAACTGAAATGATTTACCACCCAAATCTTACTGGCACAAAATAGACAGAATTGTCCAATAAGCAATTTTACCACCAAAAAAAAATGATAATTTATCATAATTTTGTTTCGTTTCAAGCATTTAGTCTAAATTTCCAGTGGAAGCATGAACAATTTGGTTCAGTGAATGATGTGTTGCATGTCATTTGAGTGTTACTGAACCTTATATGGCTGCTCATGAAGCATGTTTTATGTTGATAGCTAAACTCGGAAACCAAGCTAACTCGGTTTCTGATATTGTAGGCTTTGCCTCATAATTTATTTTTTTAATGGAAAACTGATCAGTTCAATTCCATAAAGAAGACCTTGCCGGTAAATTCGGTATGATGCACTTTATGACATGTTAAGGATGATGAGTTTTAATAATTGAACGTATTTATGCTTAAAAGAACTGTATTGAACAGAAATCCTATGCAGAATTTTAACTGAGAAGAGCTCCTCCTACCTTGCCATACTCGAGGAAAGATGAGACAGATCTGCCGCATCAGCTTCTTTAGAATAAAAGGCTTTGTATATCCGACAAAGCAGTTTCAAAAAGGCCAAAAATTTCCTTTGTAGTCCTGTTTTTCCTCCAATTGATATCTAAAAACACTCAATGGAAATCTCAAGCATTGAAGCTGACATGTTTCTCTTGGAAATAATAAAATAGGCGCAGTAACTCTGAGTCAAAGATCCATGGTTGTCGAGTTTGGCCATCAATATGCTATCAGTTCTACCTAGAGTTAGTTGGTTTATATAGCTTGCTGTTCATTTCTTCTGGCTATTGAATGTAATTTGTTTTTAATTCTCAGGAAATGCCAAGTTGCTCATTTCAGATAAGCATTCCTTTCTGTGTGTATCCTGTCAATTTTTTTTCTCTTTTTTTTTTTATCTAAAAGGAAGCCTAAAATCTCACGTTGAGTTTTTTGTACTTGTCAAAAAATGATGTTCGATCAATTAGTAATTACGGATTAGCTAAGTGAGAATTCTGAATATCTTCCCACAATCAAATACTTAACAAACAGTAAGATGAACACTATGTAATTGACTATAGGAAATGAAAAGCATCACTCTTACTTGAATTCACATTTTCTTACATCTGTTTTGGTGTGGAATGTGTTTTTCAAAAGTCAATTTGTTCCTGCTAATGCACGCAAGTGTCTGCGAGACATTTTGCCGGTATATTTCGTTCTGCTCGACTTTGTGCTATTACTCGGCTTCAAAAACATGAATCACAGCTTTTTAAAACGTCCATTCATACTCTATTTTTTAAAGAGGAAAAAGTACAAGGACTGAATCGCTAGATATTTTATCAAATTTTGTCCATACAGAAGTCCTGTAGCCCAAAAATTTTGAAAAAAATGACTGAAATTAGTTATTAATAAAAGATGAATGATAGCGGAAAGTGTACATCGATAGAAATGCTTATTTTCAAAGTATGATTTCAAACAGACAGCACACCTTTGGTTGAAATTCAAGTCTAAAAAATATCTCCATGGTGTAAAACAAATCATGTAAGGCAACTCAGAAAACTTGTATCTGAAAATGAGACTTAGCAACTTTTCTTTTGTATATTATTTTTTAAGAGAAAAATGTCTTGTTATAATTTTTTAAAATTTTCTTTGATTTCTCTTTACCTTTCCTTCAATATTCTGTGCGTTTTTTAAGTCATAATGTTCGAAAAGTCATAAAAAAAAAAATAAAACAATCAAGAAGATTTTGGTCCACTCTAATTCAGTCATGCGTTTTCCAAATTTAGCTAACGATATATTTGTCAACAGTTCTCCTCTTTGTTTGTGAAATCATATAAAAGTCTGCTTTCTCTGCTAATGCAAGTGTTGTAATACGGCACCAGGAAATGCTACTCCTTTTCTAAAAGGGTCTTTAATAAGAAAGACTCAAGGAGGATCTCTTGATTCTTTTCTGTAATACACATCACAAACTAGCATGTAATTTTTCTAATTTTTTTTCTTTTTCCATCTATTTTTAGCGGAAGCTCTTCATTTAGCCCACCTCATGGCAATTCATGGGTACTTATTCCCCATCGATGACCATATGCTTACCGTGAAAAATGACAATACATTTTATCGATTCCAGGTAAAAAAAATCTATGTAGTATTCCTCATATCAGGGACCGTTGTGCCCAGAACAGCAAGGTTTATGTACCTTTTTCTTCCTTTTGTTTTCAGTTTCAAAAGTTTTTTATAATTTTACAGCCTGTTACAGCATTTTTGTTGTCACGCCTATCATCAGGTCTAAAAACACCTTAACCCAGAAAGGAGAACATAAGTCATAATTGTTCGCCGAAGTTTGGGATGTCATGATGGGTGAACAATTTTGGCTTTTGTTTTCTTCCATGTTTTTGGTTTTTGGCTTTTACTTGTTTTTTCATTGAATCATGACTGATCAGTCCATAAGGTCTAAAAGAGCTCTTAGAATCAAGAATGATGGATGTATAATAAAGAAAATACCGACCGTGTAAGTCGGCAATCACATAACTCGGTATGCGACGTCACAGACTTCCTGTCATACTTTATTTTTTAAACGGGAAACTACACAACGGCACACTTTAAAACTGCCGTGATTTCTCTTCTCTGTGCGAAGAAAATTGTGCAAAAAATTTAAGGAATGATGTCGATTTGTTCTCTTTTAAAAAAATAACATAGAGGCGGAAACTTTCAGACACCACAGACAAGATACGCAATCGCAGACTTACGCTGTCGATATATCAAACATTCTTTCCCAAAAATGAAGGGGAAAAAAATGAATTACACCTCCAACCCTTACTCTGCAGCCACCGGTCTTTTCCAGATATTGATTAGTTAAGATTTTATCATGTGAGACTCCTATATTTCAATCAATGAAATCTGTAATAAATCTGTCAGTAGTCTAAATTACTCCATACTCCAAGAAAATAGTCATTGTATCCTCAAATTAATTTTCTTGCGGCAGTGCTCTGCTTTGCTTACACTCTAGTATAGTCAAAATCACTGTTTCTTCAAAGACTGTTCTATCCTTCATAAATCAACCACTGTTCTTCTCTTTTTTAGACCCCGTACTTCTGGCCATCAAACTGCTGGAAACCAGATAATACGGAATATGGTAACTATGCTTTTTTCCTCCCTCACCTGAAAATGATGTGCTCAGGGCTGGTTAAAAAGTGACAAGATTTTTTTTATTTTATTTTACCTTTCAATGAATTAGTGGGAGAAGTAGCAAAGAAGCAAGCCACATCTCCTTCCGACGACTTTTTTGGCCTTTTTTCCTTTTTCGAAATACTGAGTGCTTTTCTGTGGCCTGACTCTAAAACGCAGGGCCGGGCTAATGCCTGGTCTACCATCCCCCAGATGGCGCGCCTGGATTTGCCGGGGGATTCTTTTCCTCCTTAACATGGTTTGGAAAACGTAGATGTTTCTTACCTTAGGGGCTCTTTAAACTCTCGTAGTTGCAATTAATTGGACAACTTTTTCAAGGGAAAAAAACTTTGCAAACTTGGCTGGCCGCAATAATAAATTCTGGACATTTGATTAGTGTCACACTCATTTTTGACTCAGTGTTTCATTTAGAAAAGAGAAGAAACTCTGTGCTTGGTATTTCAAATGTATTTCTTCACCTGGCACCCGGAGGGTTTCTAATTGGCTACTGTCAAAATCTATTGAACCATTTTCTGAAGAATTCCTTTCTACAAAAGAAAGCAGCTCTCAGGCGGCGCGGGAGTCTTGTTGGAAGTTTCATCATAAACCAAAAAATCTAAAATTAATTGCCATAGATAAGTTTAAGGTTCAAATCTTGATGTTTGTTGTCTTTGGGCTTTGAGTCTGTGAATACTTAAGGTAATTATTTTTCAATAAAAGGTTTTATTGTAGAATCAATTTCGATGACACTGTATTCACTATTCACTCTTGTTTTGCTCCTCAAATAAAAACTCATAATAACTTCTCTTCTTTTTGTTGCAGCTGTTTACTTGTGCAAGCGTACAATGCAGAATAAAACGCGCTTGGAGTTAGCTGATTATGAGGCTGAAAATCTTGCTAGTCTTCAAAAAATCCTATCCCGAAAATGGGAATTCATCTTTATGCAAGCAGAAGCTCAAAGTAAAGTTGACAAAAAAAGAGACAAACTAGAAAGAAAGGTCCTAGACAGTCAAGAACGTGCATTTTGGGATGTTCATCGACCCATGGTAACCATTTACTTTTTTCTCCCTTTCAATCTTTTTCATGTATAATTCCATCTTAAGTCTACGTTCCAAAGGGTTTGTTGCGCTAGTCACAGAATCATGTTTTTATGGTTGGAGAAAAAACTAATAAGATCTGTCCAAACGTCAAATTTCTAAGGCCTACATTAACAAACATTTTGTCCATAAAAAAGTGGTGTATGACATCATCCACTGAGGTTTTACACACCGTCGTTTCATTCACCTTGGAGTCATCGTGTTTTACATGGAGCAACCAGTCCAAACTGGTGTATCACTGGTTGATGAAAAATTAGACTCATAAATAAGGACAATTATTTTCGTGTCCATTATTATCGAAGTTAAACAGGATGGGGTGATGACAGGTGGCTGCCAAAATAATTGCTTTTGCTGACAAGTTTTATACAAGATCTGAGAGTTTGTTTTCTGCAGTTTTCAAGTTTTTCAAAAGTATTTCAATGTTTTGTGTTTTAATCTCAACTATAAATTAACATACGTCCATTTGGAGTCCTTTAGCATGTTAAAGCAACCAATTTACTCTACCATTTAGCTGTATATTACGGATCGTCTCATGAGGAGCCAATTTCTCATGTCAGAAAGTCTTGCTCAAATTATTACACTCACAAGTGAGAATTGGGATGCATTTTTAGGTTCTGAAGAATCCGGAACACATAGTTAGTCACATATTAGACTATTACTCAAAGTCAGTTTCAATTTTTTCAAGCAAATATTTCAGTGAGGCAATTGATGAAATTATTGTTAGTGCACCGGACAAGACAAGACTAGGGTGAGATGGAGTTTTGTAATTGGTCAGCCATGTTTTTTGGACAACAAACATCCATAGAATGGCCAGATATAGAACTTTCCTGTGAATCTCAGCTGTCAGAATGACATGGTCGACAAGTCACTTAGCTCAATTCCATCCTAGTCTAGTCCTTTGTCCAGCAGGCAAAGGCATAATTTCAACAATCGACCCACAGTCTTGCAGATATCGGTAGTCACTACCATTCTACTATTGCTTTCATTTACTTCTTGTTCATTTTTATGATTATAGCCTGGATGTGTAGACACAACAGAGGTTGATAAACGGAAAGAGTGTCGGATGACTAGAACTCAGTCTAAAAGTGGAAAAGAATCAACAACTCCCATAGTTCACGTTCCTGCCACAATAAATGTTCAGAATAGCAAAACAATTCAAGAAGCAAAAAAAGAGGTCATAGGGCTAAAACTCAAGTTAGATCGGCGGAATATCAAGCTTTCTAAAGTTGCAGAAACGTATGTAAAATATTGAAAGTTGTTCTTTTAATTGTGCAGAGGACTTTGTATAGTTACTTAAGGTATTTAAAGCTCTCAGGAAAATCAGGATATGTCTCTCATAATTTACCTTGTATTTAGTAATTGAATTAGTCATTTAAAAACATGGTGCTAGGTTCTTGAAAAGTCGTCAAACACCTGGGACGATCAGAGAATTTCGCCAAACTCTAAAAAGTCAGAGAATTTCGCTAAGGAACCTTAAAATCCTTTCTTCCGACAATGACATTCTATCATTTTCTACTGCGTTCACTCACTCTATCGATAAAAAATAGAACCTCTGCCTTCATATTCTTAAATTTTCCCAAGTCAGTAGTTGAAAATTTTCGAAGTGATAAGTCAAAATGAAGGCAAATATCTCTCTAAGAGCAAAAACAAAAAATGCCCAAGCACTGTTATCAAAACGGTCATAAGCTGTTTTATAAGTTGTAGTACTTTTATAAGTAATGGAAGAAGAAAGAATCTCAAGGAACTGAAAATCGTTGTTTTTTTTTTTCTCTTGCAGGTATATAAATTACTTTGAACAATACATTGAGTATGATCCATTTTTCACCTCCACGGAATTTCCAAATCCGTGGCTCTCTGACACCACTGAATTGTGGGATCAGGAAAAGCTAGCGTAAGTCATTTTTCCTTCACCTTTTACTATCATTTCATTTTTTTCTCTGATTTAGTATATTAACTCACAGTTTTTACTGAATTTTTCAAGCTCACAGAACTCACTGGTCAAAAAATTGTATCCTCTTAGTTTTGTAATCATACTGAGATGTAACAGTCATCTTTAAAAGGTACCTCTGTTATCTTTGCCAAGCTCATATAAAACAGCATTTCACCTTTTCTTTCCATTGTCATTCTAAAGAAATTATTTTGTGTTATGCATTACTATGACAAGACCAACTAAAGAAATAAGTTTAAGTTGTTTACACTTCTTGTTTTTCTAAACTCCGAAGCAACTGGTCCTAACTCAGCATCCTATATCAAACATTTATCAAGTACAGTTGTATGTACCACCAGTACGACGAAGTACAGATCAAAATAAGTCATTTCTCAATGTTTATTTACAGGAAAGAAATAACTATTCGGCGAGTCAAGAGGTGGGCTTTTAGTCTCCAAGAACTTTTAGCAGATCCTGTTGGGCGAGATCATCTTACAAAATTTTTGGAAAAAGAATTTAGCGGAGAAAACCTCAAGTGAGTATTTCTTTCTTTCTTTTTTTCTTTCTTTCTCTCTTTCATGTAAATACACAGAGGTGTAAATGGCCTTAGATACTAAAGCACTGTTTTAAAATAAACTTATCTTACTACTACTACTACTACTTTCTTTCTTTCTTTTCTTTCTTTCTTTCTTCATCATTTCTTCAAAGGGCTTTACTCCCATTTTTACTGTCTAATTAGAAGAGTCTGCAAAGATGAACAGTAATAAACCCTCCTGTTTTGCAGTTGCAAGAGGATTTTTTTTTGATGTCTTATAGACCTTCACGACATTTTTTCTTGTTAATTTCATGCAGAACATGCAGAAATTACCCAAAATTAATATGTGAGTGAAAGATTACTGTTCACTGTTCACTGTTCACACAAAAATCAAATTTTACTAACTTTCCGCTTGCAGGGAGAACCAAAATGAACATAGTCAAATTGGTCATTGAAAACAAACTTATAACATGACGAATAATTAGACTTTGTCTTTTACCTTTTCTTCCTCTTTTTCTACATCATATTTTTTATCACCTAGTTTATCAAAAAAATCTAACACAGAGAAAAAGTAATTTCAGTGTGAAACTTACTGAATTAAGTTGAGTACTTTTCAGATGTACTAGAGCACTACATGTTTTGGTTTCCCCGGCAAGTGAGAAGTTTGAATCAACCTAACGAAAACAGCTGAATTCTCATCAATAAGTTAAAATTAAACATTTTCAATGTGTCCATTGTATATGTATGTATGTGATCCCATCACCCACCATACATGTATTTTAGTAAGAATTAGTAGTTTCTACCCTGTTTATTGGTCCATTCTGTTTTTTTAATTTGTCAGTCTGGATTTTTCTTTGAAAGAGTGGGGTTCCAGCAATAGTCTGTCATCGTGTCAAATTTCAGTATTCAGGTCATTTTTTTCAGTGTGTTCCTTTTCATAAGGATAAAAATAAAACCCATAACTTTTCTTATCAGGATTAATGGAGTATTAATCCTGCACTTCATGTAGCCCTTTCAAAATGAGGACATGATATCAACATTGTTAACCCAACTATTTTTAAAATTGTCCTTTCACAGCAGGCCCTGATAAAAATCAGAAGACNGGGGGGGGGGGGGGGGGGGGGGCTGAAAGATTTGAGGGGTCTCTAATGAAAGTTGACGTATGAAGACTGTTTTTTTTTCACTGTTAGTCACAAATGTTGAATCCGGTACTTGTTAGCAAGTAATTAAGCAATTTTTTTTCTTAAAATAACAAAATGTATACAATTCAAACAATGTTAATCCGCTCAGCGAACTGGAGACCTCCCTTATTATCTCCATTAATTTATTTTCATTTTATTGATGACTTACTATTGCAGATTTTGGGAAGCAGTCCAAGAACTGAAAGCATTGCCGCAAAAAGATGTTGAAGGCAAAGTGAATGAAATTTGGGCTGAATTCCTAGCTCCTGATGCGAAATGCCCAATAAATGTTGATTCTCAAAGTTATGAACTGACAAAGAAAAATATGCTTACTCCAGATCGATGGACGTACGACACTGCAGCGGTAAGTATCTCTTCTTGTAATTTTAACTTGACTTTTCAGGGCACCCATGTAGCACTTTTTGATGGAAAACTGACAATTTATCGTTTCAATTTTTTAGTTGCAATTTTATTACCTTTTTATTGCAATAAAATCCTTGGTATCATCAACATTTAAACAATGTTATCTAATTTGATGGCAATTTTTATTTTTCTTTTAATGAAACTGCAGTTTAATCACAAAAAATGGTGCTTTTATTTCAAGATAATGTGATTTTTTCCTCCCAATTTTATCATTTATAATTAACTTTGATATAATAGTGATTCTGTTACAAGAAAAATCTTGCTTAAAGGAAGGGAAATCGGCCCCTCCACGGAATCGGGGAATTTTTTTATATTTGACAGTTGACGATGCATTTGTAACAGAAATAATTGAGTTTTGCCAACACTCACATTTTTAGGCTGCATAACAGGGGCCTAAACATGGCTCTGAAGCCCAAAATAGCTGAAAATTCGCGTTTTTTCGTGGTTCTACCTCAGATTCCGACCTTGGTCCAAAGGGGATGGGTCATGAGCTCCGAATATGATGTCAGGGACACCTAGGTATGTAGCATACTCGAATATGATCTACTGTCCCCTTTGGGCCGAATTTGGACCTGGGTCCAAAGAGGACGGGTCATGAGCTTTGAATATAATGTCAGGGACACGGAGGTATGTAACATACTTGAATATGATCAACCGTCGCATTTGGGCCCATGTCAAAATCTGAGGTAGACACGCAAAAAATATGTATTATTTTCAGCATTTTCGGGCCATAGAGTTAGGAAAGGTCAATTTTGAACTTGGGCCCAAATGCGATGGTTGGTCATATTGAAGTATGTTATAAACCTAGAAGCCCCTGCCTTCATATTCAAAGCTCATGACCTGTCGCCTTTGGTCCCAGGACAAAATCTGAGGTAGAACCGCGAAAAACACGAATTTTCAGTTATTTTGGGCTTCAGAGCCATGTTTAGGCCCCTGTCTTGCCGCCAGTATCTGTGAGTATCGGCGAAACTCGATTATTTCTGTCAGATATGCATCGTCAACCATCAAATATGAAAAAATTTCCCGATTCTGTGGTGGGGCCAATTTTGGCTCAAATCGCAACCCCTCCTTTTAATCTTTGTTAGTAGGTTTTTCAGTTAAAATTAGTACCAAAGTACTCAGAGGAAATCAAGATAATTTAGTGCATCAAATGATGAGAACGAATTTGAGAAATGGATGAATCGAAGGGACATAAAAAATCTGTGATAATGTAGTTCCAGGGAGGAAGAGGAGTAAAGCAGGGAGAATGTTGAGGTACTGTAGAAAATTGAAATAATGGAATGCTGTTTTTTTTCTGATAGAGGATTGAAAGGAAAAGAATATTCTGTGAATGGATCATACTCAATACATCAAACAGGCATTCTTTGGCTGAGATCGTATGGATACTGATTGGTTCAACATGTAAACATAGCCTCAAAAGTCAATCAAGTAATCTGTAGGACAGGATTTTGTGATTGATCTTTGATTCTCATGAGTACTACATGGCAATGAAAAGTGAAATTTTTCGGAATTTTCTCCTTTTTAGCTTTTCTGATTTAAATCCTAAAATTTTTGTTTGAGGTTATGTTCTGTCGTTCTGAACATCAAACCACTATCAAATATGATCCATATCTCTGCTTCAGCTATTTTTTTTATGTTAACATTGATTTTCATTTGTTATCTCAGGCACATGTTTATCATCTAATGAAAAGTGATAGTTACCCGCGCTACCTACGATCAGAAATGTACAAGGACTTCCTCAGTGGTTCGAAGAAAAAAGTAAGTACAGCTAAATTTGTTAAAAGCTCTGGGAAAAGAAACAAACTTTTTTCTCAAGAGAAGTGAAAAATGAACAAGATGCCACATGCCTTTTAATTGTGTAATTGGGATACTTATAAAGAAGAACGATGAACTTGAAGAGGAAGATGCAATTAACGTACATCTTGATGGAGGTGTTTCATAATTTCCCGTCTGACCTCATCTTTTTAAAAAAATATAATGAGACTTTTTTGAGAAATATTCTCGGAAGGGCTAAGAAAAATCTCTCAAAATTGTGTGCAGTAATGAAAAAGGTATTGGTGATAAATTATCCTTTTAAAGTAGGAAAAGCTACAGCTTTGTGATCTTCCAAGTAGAGGTACAAGTTTGTATATTTTCCATCGTTTAATTTCATTACATGTTGTAGTGAGTGATATCAGCCCGTCTTCATCATTTGTATTACATTAGTATACTCTTGAAACTTTTGAATTCAACTCTATCTCTTTCTGCTAAACATTACACACAACAACCTAGCATCTAGGTGAATCTACATCCAAAGCTCTCAAAGTATATAGCTTGCTTTTGCACTCTGCAGCCATGCTTTTGGCTTTTGATCATCATCAGACTTGCCTTTTTACTTTCATAAATTTATGTTTCAGACTTCAGTGAAAGGAATACATTCTATCGTTTCGTTTTCAAGACGCAAGGATGCCTCTACATCCTAGTTGGTTTTCATTGTGGTCATCAAATTGTTCTCTCTCCCAAATTGCTGTACTGTTCTTTCAATACTCAGATTCGTAAGAAATTTCTTACCAGGTATCCCATGAACTAAGTTAACATTACCCAACCCATGCATTTTTTACGTATAGCATAGCAGTTGCGTAATTTATCCTATCATTTGATAATCTTGACTGTCTACTTTATAGAATTTGTAACTATGTACTGAAAGGATATCTGTTCCATTTTTATCTGATGTTAGGTACTTCTGTTCCCCTTTTGTTTTTTGTTGCTATCTATAGTAGAGTTTAAATTTTTAAAGGCAAAATTTACACCATTGTCAAACTACATGATGGCAAGGCTAAATAATGTCTTCAACAATCTTGCCTCAAACAACTTGTACACAACTTAATCTAGCTTTTTAATCAAAGGCCATACTGCTCCATTAAACAAAAGCCTGACTCTATGACGGAGCCTTCTGTTATGCTCCTCAAGCACTGAAACATGGAGCAGTGTAATCAGGAATTCTTCAAAAATTGGAAGATTTTACAACTAATAGACCGTGGGCCAGCAGGGGGTAACCCTCCCCCCCCCCGTGGGAATTTTGAAGATGGTGANTAAAAATAATGTTAGCATAATATCAATTCAGCAGTTTTAGATATCCAATATTGTGTCAATATTATGACAATATTACGAACAGAAGCCTGTTATGTTTGTTGTTCTAACGTTAATTGAATGTTAACATAATAACAATACCGCAGTATCACAGAGATAACATCGTCTCGATATTATTTTAGCAATTTTGTTTTCCTAATATTGTGTCAATATTGTGTCAATATTATAAGCAGAAGCCTATGTTCAGTATTTTTTTTAATAATGCGCCAATGTTAAAACTAACATATTACTGCAATATTGAAAACATAACTCTACGACAGTATTAGTTTACCAATATTGTATAACCAATATTGTGACAACATTGTGGCAATCTTAGAATCACCGAGCACCACCTGACGTTGGATTTCTAATGTTGCTAATATTGGTGCAATATTAAAATACTAAGGTTATATATCCAGTATTGATGGTATATTGTACCAAGATTCTCAGGCCAATCTTACTGTTGAAATATGCTCACAATCTCGTTAAGGTTGCCACAGTATTATTCCGATCTGCCCAAGGTCAAATTTCCGATTGGGCCATGCCATGCCATTAGAGCCGAATGTAAGCGCTCACTTTGTTCATGTGAACATGTTAGGCTTCTAATGCCATTCAGAGACATCTAGACTTGATAAAAAAATTTGTTGAACCTTAAGATACTCACAGTATAAGTGGATTGCATTTTGCAAAAAGGATCCACTAGCATTGCAATGTTGCTAAGATTGTGCAAATTCTTTTGTTTTGGAGGAAAACCCCGATCATCCATTAATAGTTTCTATTTTACTAGCTAAAAACTGTTTTAAGACAAAAATTACCATCTAAATTTTATAGTTTTTCACGATTTCCACAATTTTATTGCAAAAGATGAAGTTGCACAATCTTAGCATCATTGCAATGCTAGTGGTTCCTTTTTGCAAAATGCAATCCAAGTTTAACAGCGCACAGCAATCTCGAAACCTAGGAGGACTTAATCTTCCGTGTACACCTATGGACGCTGTACTAACCATAATATTATTTATAGATTGGGTTTTGTAGAATGAAAAAAATGTCTACCTATCAATTGGGAAAAACTTTGCATTGTAAATCTAACATAGCTCCCTTAGATATAAGAGTGCACTTGACAGCTTACTTTATAAAGTCGAACAAAGCGATACAAATTGAGCTGTTCCTCATTTTGTGCGTTGGAGGAAAGGAAATCCCATTTGATTAATCCATTCCATGGGAGTTCTTTATTTACGCTAAATTGCAAGAGATAATAAGTTTGTTGTTCCGCCGTCTGATGGTAAAATTAATGAATTACAGCCAGAATGAGCTTCAATGTGTTATACTGAGTTTAAGAAGCTAACTATCTCAAATTAGCAGTCTTGTGAAAATATCCCTTCACTTTGACGTTTAAGAAACTTACGGATAGGAACACAAACTTGCTCGGCTTCCATCTCGAAAGTTCCAGGGATTTTGAAATTTTCGAGGGATTTGTTTCGTCCATACTGCAGCAAATGTTCTGTGTTACAGGCAAGATGTTAATGTGATTCAAAATCTTCAACTCCAAAAGGGAAAGTTAAGGACTTTGGATGTACCATAGAGTAACCAGCTTCAGATAGCCTCCTCTGAGTAGAACTGTTACAAATTACGAAAAGTTCCTTAATTTTTATCATTTTGATCAATGGTTAATATGTTCCTGATTGAAAGATTCTCCCACTAAAATCAGATTTTCCTTCGTATTTACAATCTTTTGGAATTACAGGACTTCGAACCAGCGAAAGTCCACTTTATGACTCGTTTGCGTAAAGTAATCTCATCCCTAGTAGCAGAACCATAGTAAGAAAAGATGAAGATTATGTACGAAAGTTAATTTTTTTATATAATGCATGCATACGAAAGTGTTAAAAGTGAACATTTTAATGTGTCCATTATATAAAAAAAATCATAATTTTCGTGAGCTTTTCGCAAACATACTAAAAAATCTTCTAATTCGCAAAAAGCCCACGAAAATTATGACCTTTTTTTATTAATAGTTACATAAAAATGTTCACTTTTAACACTTTCTATGCATACGTTATGTAAAAAAATAAAAAAATTGTCTATAAAAAAAAATACCGTATCCAGCTTTCCTCATTTTTCATATATTATGGTCAGGTCTGAACTTTGATTTTTTTTTATATAAGCGTTACACATTTTTCATATAAAACTACCATTTAGATAACAGGTATGTTTTTTTTTTATACTTTTTTTAGAAAAACAAAAATTTGTTCTGCTACTGGGGATTCTTAACATGGTCACTGGTTTATTAGACCGTGGGCCAGCAGGGGGTAACCCCCCCCCCCCCCCGTGGGAATTTTGAAGATGGTGATTTTCTTGAAGCTCTCAACTAGTAGAATAAGATGTTCCTTGTTTACGCGAATTTTATCGTGGTGGGGGGGAGTAGGCCCCCCCTAGGAGAATTTTAGGATAGGCTTAAAGTGTATTGGATCGTTTGCCAAAGTATTCAATCATTCATTTGGTCACAGACAGATACTGCAGTGAACTCTGATTGACGAATAGTTATCAAGATAGTTCGACTCGGAAAAAAGCAAAATTATTTGAATGTTTGCTTCTTATTGGTTTGATTTTCATTGAGTTTGCAAGATGAAGTCAACTTTCACACCGTCAGTGGAGGTAAACTGGCTAGACCCATCTCCATGCCTTAAATATACTTTTCCCAGTGAGTATATTGGGTGTATTTCTTTCGGTTCCATTCAGTTAAGAATAGATCGATAAGCTGGCTCTTGTTTTTACACTTGCCTAAATTACTTTTCAAACTACGGGGTATTTTGGTTGGGGGTCCATTCGTAAAAAAAGTATCCCTTAATCCCTCCCCCCCATAATCGCTTAATGTTTTTGATGAATTTATCACTGCAGTATCTGTCTGTGACCAAATGAATGATTGAATACTTTGGCAAACGATCCAATACACTTTAAGCCTATTCTCCAAACGTTTCAAAAATGTTGACATAAGCTTAAGTATGTGCATTTCCGTCAATTATGAATAAACTCCCCTCAGTTTCAGTCATTTCCAAAAAAATAAAATAGTATCTCTACGTTCCCTGATTTAATTCCGTATCCCTTCAAATCTTAAAATTCTCCTAGTGCAGCTAAGTTTCCCCGTCCCTCCTATTATTAAGTAAGTAACGTTTGTAAATTACCCCTCCCCCACCCTTTTTTAATGTTGGCTGGGGAGGCTAAGATGTCTAACTCTAACACCCCCCCTCCCTTCTTTAAATTATATTAGTGTGAGCGTGACAATGACACGCCCTGAAAGTCGCCTTTTAGAGTATGGAATTTTCGCTTTTAATTAATTTTTTTCGTGATTATTTATTTGGGGGAGGGGGAGGGGGTGGGAGAGGAGGGGGGAGGGCCCCCTCTCCCCTCCCCCCCTCGTTAAATTATGTTAGTGTAAGCGTGTCAATGACAAGCCCTGAGGTCGTCTTATAAAGTGGAATTTTCGCGTTTAATTAACGTTTTTCGTGATTATTTTTTGGGGGGAGGGGGAGGGGGAGGGAGGAGGATGTACCTCCCTCCCCCCTGTCACCCCCCACAAGAATCCACATTGATGTTCTCTCAGAACAAACGCTACTTGTTTTCATTTTGCCGCCCATTTTTGCGCATAACGCTACTTCAAGGAAGCGGCCAATCTTGACGGTTTTTATAGGGTGGGTACTGCTGGGGGGCCCCCCTCCCCCCCACGAGGGGTTAGGCCGCTCTTAGAATGAAAAATAAATGCTCTGTTATTATAGGGGTAAACGATTTTACGATAATACCAACCTTCTTCGCGTTATTGGCGAGAAATCGCGGCGAAACGGTCATTTTCGCGGAAAATTGAGATATTTTGACATTTTAAGCCTCCCCATTTTGGGGGACCGCGGGCCCTGGTCAAAGTCACTTAAGACTTTTCTAGACCAGAATTTTACGAGCTTTCAGAATGGTTATGTGGAGTTTTGCCCTAAAATCAAGCCTTTTCGGGTAAAAGTGGGAAAATTCGCGGAAAAGTCGGAATTCTGAGCAATTTTGGGGGGTTTAGGGGGGGCCTACTCCCCCCCACCACGATAAAATTCGCGTAAACAAGGAAAATCTTATTCTACTAGTTGAGAGCTTCAAGAAAATCACCATCTTCAAAATTCCCACGGGGGGGGGAGGGTTACCCCCTGCTGGCCCACGGTCTATAAGGTCTTTAGAATGATAGCTTGAACACCCCTAGATCCACCGGTGGTTTTCAACTGTAGCTGAGTAAGTTTTATTTTGTTTTTGTTGGCATTTGTTTCTTTGTAGTTTGGAAATAGTGCTAATTTTAAGCCTTAAAGGTGCTGGATTTTTTTGATGAATCCTTTTGTTCACAAACTTGTACTCTTGGCTGCGTTT